ACACTCATAGAAAATAATGTATTTGAATTTTAAAGACATGGCGCGACGCTCCGCTTCTCATCCAGTGCGCGACCGCCTGAAACGCTGTTTTTTTCACCTCTGTGCCCAAATGTCTATGTTTGGGCTTCCAAAAGCGGATGATGTCAGGAAACAGTGGTTGCAATTTATTTTTTAACTCTGTTCCTGAGCATTATAACCCCAATTTGCTATTGTGTGCTGCGCATTTGACTGAGGACAGCTTCCACAACATGAGTGAGTACAGTGCCGGATTAGCTAAAAGCTTTTGATAAAAGCAGGAGCAAGGGGCGTGGCAGTACTCAAACACCGTCTAAGCTGTTCGCCAATCACAACGCACTGGGACAGCTAACCAAGCACAACACATTTTGTTTTTCGGAAGGCGGACCTTCATCAAAGTCAGAACTAATCGAGCCATTTGTGCTAGGCTGGGGAGAAAGGTATTTTAATAATGTAAATTATGTGAAAAATAATGTGTTTTTCAAACCACCAAACATGAGAGCATGTTCTAGTACACCCCCAAAACAAAATCAAGACTTTGTAAAAGAGCATAATAGGACCCCTTTGATATCATGAGAGCTGTTAAATGTTGCAGAACGGATCATTCAGATCAGTTGTGTGAAACGGATAAAAGATTAATTGAAGAAAAAAAAGAAGCGATAAATGACGACAACTTTGGTATTTTATGGAAGAACATCATGTTTTGTTTTTTTAAATTTCCCCATCTAGAAGCAAGAGACCTTCTATAAGCTAACCTCCCATTTACTACGTTTACATTTGATGTACACTACCCTTTCTTTAACACAAAAACTGGTGCAAAACACTCATGTTTACGATAATCTGTGAGCAGGAAAAGGAGAAGCAGGGTTAATATGGCACATTCATATGAGAACAAGAGGTAATTGTGAATCAACTAACCTCAACTGAAGTCTCAAGTATTAATATATGACAGACTGAGTCTGATAACCTAATTCCACCATGAAATGAAACAAAAACATACAACATTCAGTGTGAATGTTCAATGTATATTGTCTACTTTATTACTATCGGGCTAGTCACAGTAGGTTTGTCATCACAAAGTGCTGGATTGGAACAGATTTATTGTAACAACTCGTACCTGTAAAACACTGTTCCTTTGTTCAGATAACATGTAACAGTGAAAGACCCATATTGCAGCTGTTTGGTACACGTGCCCAAGCGATCATCATAATTAAGGTCTTTGTCCCACACCTCCAGCTTCAAGGTTTCATTTGCTTTGCAATTTGGGAAGTTGAACTCTGCAGACCATTTAGGATGAGCAGTATCCTTGTGATATTCTGTTTGGCCCCCAAAAACAGAGCCACACCAGACCTTGATGTATGGATCAGGTTTGTTTCCAGCAGCGTCACCGGTGAGGTCCCTGGCGTGTAAGCCAAACACCCGAACAGTAGCACTGGCAACGTCCAGCAGAGACACCAGCATCAACACAGCCAGAGACACCAGCCGAAGATGATAAAAGACTGCCATAGCTTTCAGAAAGAATGCATGTTCATTTATGAAAATGCAACAAACAAATATTAAATGTGTAAATGATTAAGTGTTAAAGACACCTTACCTCACTTGTATTAGAGTCCATATGAATGCTTCCTGATCCTCATCCCCTTTATAAAGCCAATTCAACCTTAAAAATCTGATCAACAGGTGGTTAAATCCCATGCTTATCTGTGTTAACTATTATTATGAAACACAGTGGCCTATTTACTGTACATTTGCCAATAGTGTGCAAAACTGCATTCTACGAAATCATAGAACCACTGCAATAAAAGCATTTTAACAAATTACTGTCCTGACCATATAAAGTCATATACAATATATATATTTCATACTAGGTATAGTTCAAATCTATAAACCTATTTACTGACATGTTGCTCGAGATTTACTGATATGAAAACTATTATTAAACTTTATTTGGAGTACTTCTTGTGCACAACGCACATTTCTTAATATTAAGCCTACAATGTGTTTTAATAAAACTATTGATGAGGATTGTATGATCTTTAAATAATATCTGTTTTTAAATGCAAGATATTTAAAGTGTACCACTCGCAATAGTTCCACTTTAACACAATCAAATATACTTGATCAAATATGATCAACAGGTGGTTAAATCCCATGCTTATCGGTGTTAACTATTATTATGAAACACAGTGGCCTATTTACTGTACATTTGCCAATATTCTACGAAATCATAGAACCACTGCAATAAAAGCATTTTAACAATTTACTGTCCTGACCATATAAAGTAATATACTATATATATATATATTTATTTCATACTAGGTATAGTTCAAATCTATAAACTTATTTACTGACATGTTGCTCGAGATTTACTGATATGAAAACTATTATTAAACTTTATTTGGAGTACTTCTTGCGCACAACGCACATTTCTTAATATTAAGCCTACAATGTGTTTTAATAAAACTATTGATGAGGATTGTATGATCTTTAAATAATGTTTTTAAATGCAAGATATTTAAAGTGTACCACTTGCAATAGTTCCACTTTAACACAATCAAATATACTTGTATATCTTTAGTTGGATTTCAGCACTACTTCCGCACAATTAAAATGCATTAAGCACAAAATTATTTTTTTCCAATTAAAAAAAAAAAAATGCTTAAAAGTATATACCAGTTTAGTATACTAAAAGTACAATTGCAGGGTCTTTTTTATTAAGAACATAAATATGTAAATGCAATTGTAGTATACTTGGCACAAAAGAAATGCATTTTTAATACATTTATTTTTCACTAGGAAGCAACAACAACAGCCTCATTTCATTAGTTGCTGGTCTGGTTCGGAATCCAATGTCACCAATATGAAGCAGAGAGTCTTGCTCAAGAACAAGACACGTAGTTCACATACACATGTGAAAGAACAGATGGTCATTACACTTTTGTCATAGTAACAAGGAATGAATGAAGATTTAGGGACTTCCAAACCTACACCTTTTCACTCAAGTAATTCACATCAATGTTATCTTGCACCATTTCACACAAAACTATTTGATTAGAGTATTCTCTTTCCACATCAGATGCAGGTTGACTATGAACAGATGGACAAATGATTAAAAAACATACTGTATATGACACACTGAAGGTGGGCACGAATAATGCAATAATACTTACATAATGTAAGTATCAAAACCCAGTTTAATCAGCGCTCTAAAAAAAATATTACCATGGGCAGATATAAACCTGCAATTCTAAAAGTGTGAGTGCGTGTCACTCACTTTCAAACAGGATAACAACCAGATGAAGATTTAGTTAAATGCACTTTAATCATTAAATCTCATCAGCTCTATTGCTCTGAACTGCATTATAAGGAATCCAGCATCCATTGAGAATTGAGAAGCAGAGGCAAGCTTAATTTATTTAAATGACTTTTATTAAGTTTACAAATAGGGTAACAAATGCTGTTTTATTGGAGCGCAAAGCTCAGTTTTATATGAAGCTTGAACATCCTATACTTAGTGCAAAACATACAGTTAAACATTGCCAATGATTCCCTACATGTTTGGTTTTCATTTTAATAACTCTTTTAACATTTTGTATAATATCATACGGAGAAAAAAAAAACACTGAATGAAAGTCACCAGAGGAAATCTAGAGACTCAAAAGACAGCAAAACAAGCGGATCAGATAGCAGTACAAAACAAAATAACTTAATGACAGGTCAGTAGCATTAAGTAAACATTGTTCTGTTGTATTTCTTTCCACAGGAGAGCGACTAGTAAGGAGGGATTCATTCAATAAGATAGTTTTGAGTAGGTTTGTGTGCATTTTTTCTGTGTAACTGAAGTCTCATGCAAAAAGAAAGAAAAAATTTATTTTATTGTTTTTTTTCCATCATAAACTGAATGTCTAGCGATACTGAATGGCTCGTTCGTACATCAGCACGCTACACAAAAAAAAAATTTCAAAGCAAAGAAAAATGATTTTTTTTTTCATTTTCCAAGGTGCTGTAATGCAGTGCAGTTACATTAGCACCCTCTACAGTCAAACAGGGGGACCTGTTTCTTACAGCGAGAGCAAATTAACACTTGCATCATATCTGGAACAAGGGACATTATTTTATTGTTTTTTTTCCATCATAAACTGAATGTCTAGCGATACTGAATGGCTCGTTCGTACATCAGCACGCTACACAAAAAAAAAATTTCAAAGCAAAGAAATTTTTTTTTTTTTTTTCATTTTCCAAGGTGCTGTATCATTTACATCAGAGGTCAGAGGTGAATGCAGTGCAGTTACATTAGCACCCTCTACAGTCAAACAGGGGGACCTGTTTCTTATAGCCAGAGCAAATGAACACTTGCATCTGGAACAGGGACATGGCACTCAGAAGGTACCATTTCATTAGTATGAACACTGAGCAGGTTGGACCTCTTTGTTAAAGACCTTTTGATGCGTTCACAGTTTGAACAAACCGAGCGACGTAAAGTGGGTAAAAACGAGCTGTCTACAGGTAAAGCGTTGTGTACAAAGCAAGAGATAAAGGTAAAACGAACAGCTTTTGAATATAGAGAGCCAGTTGAGAATCTAAACTGTACAGTTGACCTAAAGTGAAGTTCCTGTACTAGACGTTTCACGCAGACGGCACACTAAGCAGTATGTAACGAGTTGTAATCTAAGTCCTTTCAGTAGTTAAGGTGATGAGAACATCTCCACTATGTTTTTGTACCCCAAATAAAACGCTCTAAGGATCTGTACATTTGTTTCTAGTGGATCAGGACTGTTCTCTATTCATCTGCACAGTCGAATGTGCTAAAAGGTAGTTTGACACTGCAGGTCTAGTATTTTGAATAAACCAAAGCATTTACAAGAGTGATTTGACTGACTGCTACAAAAAGAGAGAGTGCGATCCTCCGAAAGAAGCTACTGATCTGCCATAAAACCGAATGCCGTTGTCAGTACGGTGAGGTGAGAACTAAGCGGATTGATGAGAAACCAGCGAGAAATATATTTTAACAGTGCTGTGTCGGTGAGGGTTGCTAACTGTCTTTTCCCACCTTTCTGGTCCTTTTCTAGACTTGCTGTCACATCTGTTGCTAAATGAGTCAAACGTGTCTCCCTATGCACACCTGGAGAGGATTCGACACTGGATGGCGTCAAAACCAATTAAGCAGTTCTGGAAAAACATCTAAGCTATTGGTGGTTTTGAAATACTTACAACATACTGTCCCATGTGTACTAACTTTCCTCGTCCTGCGTTTCTATCTGAGCTGATCTCTCACCTTCACAAGAACCGTTCACGCTGTTTAAGAATCCATCTGGAAAACAAAGACACCGTGGTTGTCAAAAGAAGTTTAAATGACTCATCTATGTGCTGATGATAGGCACACTTCCACTTGCATACTAAGGTAGATTGATCAAAGTATCTAAAACTCAACCCTCAAGCACTTTCACAGCCTTTGAATGTGATATAATGGCTGGATTGTGTTTGTGCAGCTGTGTTGAAGCTTTTTGCAACTAGGACTGTGCCATCAAATGGTTTCAGTCGTACCCAATTCAAAACGGCATCCAAAACAACACCTTGTTCCTGCAATATATTAATAATCACCCTCTGTGAAGTCCAACAATCCAACCAGAGACTCTCCGCTGCCTTATATATCAAACCCAGAAGCAAAAAAAGTAACACAAAAATAAAGCAAGGCACTAGAATCTTCAGAAAGCTCACCGGGCTTAGGGAAAGAGGGAAAGATTCTTTTCTTCAAGTACGTTAATTGAATCCATTTACATTCACATTTATCTAATAATATAAAGAAAGTACAAAGGGGAAAAAAGGGTTAAAGTGTCTCCAATAAGATGAAATAGCTAGCCTTACATCTCATGAACGCTAATATCCAAAACCCTCCAAAATTTCATGTTTTTTTTTGTCTACTTTCTTTTTATCTAATGTTGTCCAACAACATTTATAATAATCACAGTGTTTCAACATCAAAAACTGATGAGTAAATACAGGTCCATACAGAACACGACTTCTTATTTGAATGTCTTGATCAAACTATCGTAAGAGGCCCCTAATGCTGCCATGATTAGAAAAAGCTGATAATTAGCCATAGATTTAAAGCTTCACGGGCCTCCAAGGTAACCAATCCTGTATCCAAAACCCAATCCAACTGATTTTATCCACCATTTTACAAGTCACCTTGTGGTGTGGCCCAACGAGAAAACCGGAAGAGGACGGTAAGAGTGTGAATGTGCATGCTGGGATGCATGTAGGAGCTTTGTATTACAGGCAGCTGAAAGGCCTCTGAACATGTGACAAAAAAAAGTACTGTCCCTAACATTCTGCTACACAAGGCCGGCTTGAAGGGCATAGGGAAGAAAAACCAAACAACCAAATGAATGAAATCAAAACCTCATTACCCAATTTAAAAACAAAGGAAATCTGTACATGGATTTTGTCCTTTTATCTAATGAAGGTCACTTCCTGTGTTTTAAAATGGGCTTTTTTTTAACCATTGTAATTATTGCATTGTTCCATGGCATTGCAGCAGAGGGTTTAGGGCAAGAGGGGAACTAGGTTAGTCTCTTTGCTGCTCAGTGCTCACCGTCACCCACCCGACCTCCGTTTTTGTTGACATGTTTGATGTATGAATTTATCAGGAGGATATACGGATGGATGCTGGTGGCATTCATTCCATTTTAGGTCAGCAAACCTCTAATCGAACCCCTTGACAAATGTTTGGGGTTGGGTGGTGAAGGATGCCATCACTACACACCTTAACAATAAAAATGGTCACACCTTCTTTGGCCACGTAACATTGCACACAAGTGTCTGTTGTTTTATTTTCATCTTCTCTAATCCCTTGCATCGTTGTGCATCATCCCCGTGGCGTATCTGTGAGCATGCATGCAGATTCTGGCATCTTCTTTCTTAACTATCAACTCTTGTGACAGAATCTCCGCAATGCACACAAACGCTTGCCCAATCTGCCCCCCTTCCTTCCCCCAACTCGAGAGTTATTTAGGCCTGGCACGGCTAGGCCCTGCCCTACGTGGTCTTCAGGTTGGGTCCACCCGGGTGGCTGACTGACTTTTGCAAAGTGCTGATGTGGAAGGTCTGTAAAGGGGTGGGAACCTGGGGATACTGTCCCAGGGGTTGCGAGGTGGCTAGCAGACCGGCCTGGGTGTGCGCGACCGAACCAGCCCACTGGGCGCTGTAAGGTGCAGAGGGGTAGCCATACTGCGGCGTGGGACACAAGGAGCCCTTCCGGGCCCCCAGAGAGGTAGCGGGAGTGTTGGGCATGGGCGGGTGGCCGCTCAGAGTTGAAGCGATGCTTGGGCACAGCTGGCCAGGAGCCGAGTATTTGCGGCCCATATTGGTAGGAGGAACCATCTGAGAAGAGAAGAAAGGAAAAACATTTATTTAGAGTATGGATTCTCAACTCTGGCCCTCGAGGTCCACTTTTCTGTAGAGCTTTTCTTTAGCTCCAACCTTGATCAAAATCACCTGTCTGTAACTTTCTAGAAGACCTTGATTAGCTTGTTCAGATGTGTTTGATTAGGATTGGAGCTAAACTCTGCAGGAAAGTGGACTTGAAGGGCCAGAGTTGTGAACCCCTGGTTTAGAGGTTCTCCTTGTGTGCCAATCTTGGTAGCTTAATTTTTGCAGGGGGAATATCAAGGGGGCTTGTGAAAATGAAAAGGTATATGAGGGTTCCTCAGAGTGGAACACTGGCAGAACCCTCTAGAAAACCAATGACAATTTTTAGTGTTCTTATGGGTTCCATTTTGTAAGTTCTTTCAAGAACTTCCCCATTTAAACTTGATCAAAATCACCTGTCTGTAACTTTCTAGAAGACCTTGATTAGCTTGTTCAGATGTGTTTGATTAGGATTGGAGCTAAACTCTGCAGGAAAGTGGACTTTGAGGGCGTAGAAGTTGAGAACTGTGAAGGACAAAGTCTTACTTCGTAGCTGTGGCCCTGAGGAGCCACTTGTTGTTGGTGCTTGGAGCCTCTCTTGCCCTGCGACAGGTTCATAGCGTCCCTGGCCCAGTTGTCCACCAATTTGTGCAGCTCGTCTGTGAACATGCCCTTGCAGCTCTGGGACTGAGAGACGGGCGGCTGGTTTTGATTCTGAACGGTTCCCGCCACTGTGTTGGTGCTGCTTGTCCCTGAACGGAGAAAAAGATAGGAAGAGAGAATATGATCGTAAAAAGGAAGTCAGTCCAACATGCATCATACTAAAACAGCTGATACAATCTGAAGCCCCACAGACTATATTTATGTGTATATATTTATATACAGTTCCTCACATTAGATTACATAAGCCTTATATAATCTGCAAAATGTTTGATTTTAAAAAAAGAGAGTTTTTAAATTTATGATATTTTCTTTATTTAGTTCTGCCCTGGTTTGACCTGATTCTAATTATTTTTAGACATAACAGATTTTACTTGACATGTGAGAATCAAAAGCATGATATTTAAAATGCTGCATTCAAAATTATATTTTAACCTGGAAATAAAGAAATCTTTAGTTAAACCAATAAAAGCTTGATTAAAATAAATAAATAGAGCTGCGGTCAGTAAAAGCAAGATATTTAAAATAAAGAGCATAGAGCAATATATTGAGAACTAAAGGGTTTGAAAATGCTAACAATTATTCAATTTAAGCTGTTATTTTGACATGCATGATTATAATACAATATCTGTTATGCAGGTTCTTCAGGACAACACTGATTTAAAAAAAATTAAAAAATGTTTTTTTATTTATTTAATCTCTTCTAATTTAAATAAAAGCAAAACATATTGCAGATTATATAAAGGGTATGTAAACTTAAGAGCACAACTGTACAAAAAGTCATGGCAGTGAGGCCCTATCGAGCACCTGGGCATCCGCTCTGAGGCTAAAGTGACAATTTTATCACTCTGACTCCAGCCTGCAAAACAGGTCATGAAGACAGAATTAAAACACCATCTCTGGCTTTCCATCGGTGCATAAACCAAGTGCTTTGCATCTGCCTGGGCTTCATTATCATGCTTGCCATGGTTGTTTTTATTGCAACACAAGAGGGAGCAAAAGGGTGGTGAAATGATTCACCATGAGCTCCAGTATTAGATTAAACTGAACTGCAATGTCTCAAAATTCATGGAGGCTAACAATTTGAAATTTTCAACAGCTACTATTCAGAAACGTAATAAGTGAGTTGATTAGTACCATTAGCTAAACTAGGACAAAAAACGGTCAATCTTGTTAACACATTAAAGGGGTCATATGATGCAATTTCAAATTTTCCTTTCTCTATGGAGTGTTACAAGCTATTCGTAAAAAGAAACGATCCCTAAAGTTGCAAAGACTAAAGTGTCAAACCCAAAGAGATATTCTTTATAAAAGTTAAGACTTGTCCATGCCCTCCTAAAACACCTCGCTTAAACACGCCCCCACATGTCTACGTCACTGTGTGGGAAGATTTGCATAACACCACCCAAAAAGCAAAGAAAGAAGGCGTAACTTTGATTCTCGCTGTTGTATTGTTGCCGCCACTGCCATGTCGTGTAGACACTGTGTTTTGTTGTGAAAGCGAAACTACTAAGTCTGGTCTTCCAAAAGAGGACACAACTAGAAATCAGTGGTTAAGTTGTGTTTACAACACTGTTCCAGAACGGTTCAAACCAAATATTCAGATGTGTGCAACGCATTTTACGGAGGATGAGGACTGTTTCCTGAGAGAGTAGCCTACAATGCCGGTGAATTCAGTTCCCCTGTTTCCCCTTCGGCACGCATGCTGACCACAGTCTATGATGCTGACAAATAATGCTGACTCACAGTCTGTAAGTATATTTTCATATTTAAAGAATTTGCCACTGACGATTCAAACGCGAGTTTTGAGCAGTGTAGAGTAGCGCTTGTTTGTCGTTTCTCCGATCACAAATGCAGACATGGTTTTATGTTTATGCGGCGCGATGCAACGCAAAGTGTAAAAATACAGTACAAGTCATTATAATCAGTAATTATGTCCCCACTAGATGCTACAAATGCCTAGTTTTTAATGGGTTTTATTGGTTTTGTCTCGTAGCACCGGGACATGGCATCATAGTATGGTAGGGGCGTAACATTTCCGTCACACGCTTGAGGTATTCGACCAATCACAACGCACTGGAAAGCTGGCCAATCAGAGCACACCTCACTTTTCAGACCGATAAGCTTTGTAAAAATCGAGCGTTTCAGAAAGGAGGGGTATAGAGGAGAAACAATAATGTACAGTATGTGAAAATAATGTGTTTTTTGAACCTTAAACCACAAACACATTTCATTACACCAAATACACAAAATAATGTTCTTTTTTAGCAACGTCATATGACCCCTTTAAGATTAGCAGTATGAGTAAATAAGCCTCTTTATGAAAAACAAAGCATTGCAGTGATTATGTGGTACATTTTTTACAAAAAAGCTCTGTTTACTGAGCAGTTAATGTGAAGCAAGATGACAAATTCGCAAAATGAGTGGAAATGCCTCAGCTCCTTCATAAGACTCATCACTGTCATGACTAAGAAATAACGGTCTTTAAACATGCACTGGTATAAGCTGATTGGTCCATTTATCTACACATATCTGTCGAGGAACGAAGAGCTGATGCATTTGAAGAATAGATTGTAAATCAGACAAAGCTGATGGGGGAAAAACATTTCAAAATCAAATCTTGCAGTTACATACAAACAGCACAAATATCTTGCCAACTATAAGGGCAGCCACCCTGCGACACAGATAAGACCTGTTAGGACGGCAAACACAGCCCCTCCAGAATGCAGCAACAAAAATACGACACATTGTGCCAAGCCTGAGGCACCAAAAGGAATTCTGGGCGATGTAGTCCAGAGCAAGCCATGCTTTGAAATATAGCTACTCCTTTTCCACCATGCTGGTGCTGGCGCCAAAGCCAGTACCCAATTTGGCCCGGTTTCATACATTTCCACTGAAGGAAAAGTGGTTTATATTGGCCCTAAAAAAATGACTGAATACATTTTTAAACACAACTGTACAGTTCATGGTCAGTTTAGAAATAAAAATATTTATAATTAAATAGATATATTAATAGATTTCTATTTTACACAAACACTATTCTATTTTTCTATTTTGTTTTTTTTTTGCATTGTGGCATTATTTTAATTCAAATTAAGCAAACTCTTCCTCAATTTTTAGTACTGTAATGCAAAAAAATCTCAGTCGATATTATTATGTGTAAAAAAAGTATTTTGAATTATATTAATTTATATGATATTGATTAATTTAAATCGTAAAGAATTTATGCATCATGGTAGTATTTAATATACTGAATTTAAGTTAAATTTGATTAATTAAACATTAATTTACATTTAATTAGATATCTAAAACTAAAGTGTCAGGACATGATTAATTACACTTAATATTTTTAAATTTATTTTATTTATCTTTTTTTTTAAAAGAAATTAATATTTTATTTGACACAAAAGAGATGGTACATACTTTTATAATGTTACAAAACATTTCTACAGTAATTCAAATGAATCACATTCTTTTGAACAATTAATCAAATCATCTATTTATCAAATAATCCTGAAAAAAATATCAAGGTTTCCACAAAAATATTAAGCTAGTAACTCCACGTCCAACACAGTGCATTATGGGAGTGCTAGTCTAAAACCTGAAATCAAGCCCTGATGGCTGTTACGCTCATGCTCAGTGAAGGTGGGGTGAGCAAAGGAAGGTTCACGTGTGTGAGCTTTGACCACAGGAATAAATTACATTTCAAAATATATTAAATTAGAAAACAGTTATTTTAAAGTGTAATGATGTTTCACAAGAATACTGCATTTCTGATCAAATACATGCATCCACATAAAATATTGTGGATGTTACAATATTCATAAAAATGAATAATAAAACAAGTTTCATTAGCCAAGCACCAGCACCACCTGGTGGAAAAGGAGTAAGGGAGAGGTGGAGGCTCCACACACAGCTTGACTTCAGCATTTACTGGATGACTTCCATTCACTTTGTTCAATACTTGAGGATCCCGGAATCCTCTTTGTGAAAACCTACCTTTCTGTGTGAAAAATGTGAGCTGTATGCCCTCAATATGGTAGTTTGTGCACTGGATAGTGATTAAGTCTTGTGCACAGTGAGGGGGAGATCAGCCAGGCCTCATTAGACCCTTGTAATGGGTGAGAAACTCCATCCAAACAGGATGTGGTCGATGTGCAGTAAGCAGGATGAGTCTTAAGGGGATAAAGGAAGATTGCAGAAGAGAGTCTGGGGCTTCAAATTGTCTTGTGCGTAATGGGATGAGTGCTCAGACGGGTCCATTTAGAGTGCATTAGTAAGTCTGCTGCTGAGTGTGGCGTCGTCGCCTGGCGAGGCGTTTATCGAGAGTGATTTCCAGTTCGGTTTCAAATTTAGGGCAGTGCGAGTTTAACTTGAGTGAAAACACACGTGGCATGCCACACTTATAAACACATGAATGGGTCATCACAGGAAAGAAATGCTCAAGTCAGCCTGAGAGCTTAGCGGGCATACCAGCTTCAACAGACCACAGGACATGAAGCGAAAGGTGACGACAGGAAAGAGAGGGAAGGAGGAGTGGGAGGATGTAAAAAAGAGAGATAATTACTACAGAGTTGGTTGCAGGGGCACACTTTTTTCACCATCTTCCCTGAAGCATGGAGAGAACGGTGGGATTGGAGAGAATCAGTGTTATAGTAACTCCACGTCCAACACAGTGCATTATGGGAGTGCTAGTCTAAAACCTGAAATCAAGCCCTGATGGCTGTTACGCTCATGCTCAGTGAAGGTGGGGTGAGCAAAGGAAGGTTCACGTGTGTGGGGTCTGTGATCAGGTGCATTAACATTGTGAGGGCAACTAAAAAAAGATAAGCTTGCAAAGAAAGAAAGTGCTGATGTGAGAGGATGTGTGAAAGTACCTGCTCTGAGGGACTTTAAATCTTTTTTTTTAAATAAAAGAAAGAAAAGAGACTAAGGAAAATTCATCAGATTGTAAGATATATGCACTGACTTGCCTAGTTTGGAGAAATATTTGTCTCCGTTTTAGCTGTTCAGTTCACTCCTTTCAAGAGATTTAATTATAAAAATGTGTGTGAATTATTACATAAATAATATGAGGAAATGAGAATAGTAAGTTGCAGATTCACACTGCATGTGTCAGAAAAGGAAGAGCCAAACAATACTGAAGAACATGAGCCATATCATTATATTATATCAACATATCATTACAATAAAGTACCGTTAGTATTTGCATTACAGTAGATATCATGAACTAACAATCTTATTGCAAACTAAAACTATTAAAAATAAGTTAAAATAAAATATAAAACTTAAATTAGATATAAAAATATTATACTTAAAAAAACAAACAGAAATTAGAAATGCCTTGGCAATTAACTGTAGTAGTAAGATAAAGACAAAAAATTATAATAGTATATAAAATAACTAAAATAGAAATATAAAATATAATTATATACCACAATATTAAAATATATGATATATTATAACTGTACATTAAATGTTAAATATGTTAAAAATAAACGAAAGTGACAAGTACATACACAATTATTAAAACAAATTAAAAAAAGAATTCAAAATATTAATACGTATTTTAACTATGTCAATCATACTAAAATAACACTAACAAACTACTATACACAATTTATTAATCTAGGCTTATTAGTATGGAAGCATATAGGTAGCGAAATTCAATTTAAAATGCAATATGCAAAATGGCAATGCAATATTCAAAATGGCATTGTATTTCTGTATTTAAATTTACATTTCCCATTACCCATACGTACAAAGTTTATATAATTTAATTTTCATATTACTTTTGCACCAAATTTTGCACGTATGGGTAATGGAAAATGTAAATTTAAATACAGAAATACAATGCCATTTTGAATATTGCGTTGCCATTTTGAATATTGCACTGCCATTTTGCATATTAAATTGAATTTCGCTACCTATATGCTTCCATATATTAGGCCCTTAACCTAGGCTTATCATGTTAATTAATTTTTTGTTCATAATATATTAACTTTACTGATTTATACACCTTGAAATTATTCAGCATATGTAGAAATTAATATTTACCTACATTAATAAATGATGTTCATTATTAGTTCATGATACCTTTTTATTATTAATAATGATAACATTTACAACTTTATTGTGAAGTGTTACCAGTATATGGATACTGCACATTTAAATTATTAGCTATAATTACAACAATTGGACAAAGTTGTTTATGGCATCCAGCTGTGATTTTTTGTGTGAAATTGATGTGTATTTTCCCGCTTTCAGTATAAATTGCTTGCTTAAACTACTTGGGAACTGCTAAAGTACAAGCCGTACTGTTTTCAGACACTGTCAAATGCAGCATGTTATTCTTTTTTTTAATTATTAGTAATTATCTTTAGCAATTTGCACATTTTGTTATGATGTTAAACCAAAGCATATATGAAGGAAAATATAAAAACTAGTAAGATGAATTACAAATGACAAAGTGCCCACTGTGAACACAGTTGAATTAGAAATAATTATGGGACCTCATAGGTTTCACTAGTGCATTACGGGATATGAACGATAACTGTTAAGCAATGAGTTGTTTTTAAGATTCATGACACAATGTCTGAGATGATCGGCCAATCAGAAGGCTTGGCAGAATCAAGAACTAATCACATGACATTGTAGGAAAGAGACAAAAGAAAAAGCGTTACACACAAAGAGCCAAGCAGGGCGTACTCAGAAAACGCGTCCTCCTGCCACCTGGTTTGAAGGTCACTCTCTCCGACCCACAGCTGAACTTTACACAGCCTGTGGTACAAAAAGAGGGAAAAAGAGAGAGGTGGAAAAGAGGAAGAGACAGTAAGAGAGAGAGAGAGAGAGAGAGAGAGAGATAGAGAGATAGAGAGAGAGATGGAGCAGATAGCAGAGAAAGAGAAAGGAAACGTACACAAATACACAGTGAGAATGGTAACAGAGGTCAGTAAGCCATGAATTCCTGACAGATAGAGAGAGTGAAAAAGGTGAAGGAGGGGAGGAGTGGCCCTGGGTGGGTGAGCGTCGAGTTGTACAGAAAAGAAGGGGAGGAAAAGCGCCCCCTTGAGGCACAAGCATCAGCCCTGCAGCTATATCCAAACCAAAGCGTGCGCTTTCTCAGATAGGCAAAGCAAATATTCCTATGTTTAGTGTTCACCTGCACTACCACAAATAGGGCCGATATATGATCCACCACAAAAATCATAGGAACATAACATTTTAATGACCGCTGGACAAGTTCCTTCCAACTGTGTCATCCTGAAGTTTTCTCCTCAAATTTGGAAGACCCACAGGAAATAGGTCAGAGCTGCTTTATGTGACTAAAACATCCAAAAATGACTGAACCAACATAGTAAACTATGTTATTTAGGAGTGGGCGATATACGGGTTGAAATTAGTCATAAATACCATAATTTTGGCATAAATTTGCAAAGAAGAAGGTGAAGCACGAACAGTTGTCCCGTATTTTGAAATCAAAGCAAATGCTTACCATTTTAAAATAAGAAGAGAGAAATCTAATCTATTTACATTAAAAAGACTATTTAAAATTATAATTTTGTCCAATGTATATATTGTATAATACAAATAATTTAAGATTTTTAAAATTAAATTTAAGATGTAATATTTTTATTTTTAGAAATGCATTTCATTGTGATGACAACAAATGTTTTTAATTTCAATGGTTAAAGGGGTCATATGATGCGATTTCAATTTTTCCTTTCTCTTTGGAGTGTTGGAGATATTCTTTATAAAAGTTAAGAGTCAACCACACCTTTCCAAAAATGACTGAACCAACATAGTAAACTATGTTATTTAGGAGTGGGCGATATACGGGTTGAAATTAGTCATAAATACCATAATTTTGGCATAAATTTGCAAAGAAGGTGAAGCACGAACAGTTGTCCCGTATTTTGAAATCAAAGCAAATGCTTACCATTTTAAAATAAGAGAGAAATCTAATCTATTTACATTAAAAAGACTATTTAAAATTATAATTTTGTCCAATGTATATATTGTATAATACAAATAATTTAAGATTTTTAAAATTAAATTTAAGATGTAATATTTTTATTTTTAGAAATGCATTTCATTGTGATGACAACAAATGTTTTTAATTTCAATGGTTAAAGGGGTCATATGATGCGATTTCAATTTTTCCTTTCTCTTTGGAGTGTTGGAGATATTCTTTATAAAAGTTAAGAGTCAACCACACCTACCTAAAACGGCTCATTCTAACACGCCCCCACATGTCTATGTCATGATGTGGGAAGATTTGCATAACGCCGCCCATATGTTCACACAAAGAAAGAAGGCGTAACTTTTATTCTCGCTGTTGCCGCCGCTGCCATGTTGTGGAGTCGCTGTGTGTTTCGTTGTGAAAGCGAAACTACTTTGTTTGGTCTTCCAAAAGAGGACACGACTAGAAATCAGTGCTCAAGTTGTATTTACAACACTGTTCCAGAACAGTTCAACCCAAATATTCAGATGTGTGCTGCGCATTTTATGGAGGATATATGAGGACTGTTTCCTGAACCAGTAGCCTAATGCATCTGTGGCACAAAGGCTGTTTCTATAAAGTGTTTCTAGACAGTATAAGTCATTATAATCCATAATTATGTCCCCACTGGATGCAATAAATGCCTAATTTGTAATGGGTTTTATTGGTTTTGTCTCGTCTAGTGATGTCCGGATCACGAATGAATCGTTCTATTTAACCGGATCTTCTTAGTTAATCGGTCGAACCAGTTCACCAAATCGAACTGAATCGTTTGAAACCGTTTGCGTCTCTAGTATGCACTAATCCACAAATTACTTAAGTTAATCGGTTTATAAACGTGCCTGACACTCCCTCTGACACGAAATAAACCAATATCCCAAGTTAATTAGGTAACTCCTAACAGTACATTGACTGAACTGCTAAAAGAGAACCGATGATGGGATGTGCACGAGCAGAGCAGCTGGACTGAGTCTCGTCCTGCTGGGAGACGGCATCACAGTATGGTGAGGGGCGTAACATTTCCGTCACACGCTTGAGGTATTCGGTCAATCACAACGCACTGGATAGCTGGCCAATAAGAGCACACCTTGCTTTTTTAGAACGATGAGCTTTGTAAAAATCGACGCGTTTCAGAAAGGCGGGGCACATTATATGGAAAATAATGTTTTTTTGAACCTTAAACCGCATAAACACATTGCATTACACCAAATACACAACATCATGTTCTTTTTAGCAACGTCATATGACCACTTTATAATATGATTTAAAAGTTTTACTTTGCAATTCACATTAAAAAAGATGCACACACTGATATTGTTATAGATCAAAATCGTAAGAATGATTTTCTGCTTTCTGCCCACTCCTAATGTCAATTTATCTTTGTTACTTTGTGTATAGTAAAAAATAAAAAAGCACAGGGTCAAGCTTAGGGCTGTGATGTGTTAGGTTTCTTTATTTTTACCTTGCGAGGTGACACACAAACTGGGCGCAGAGAGTGTGGCGTCACTGGTGTAAGCGGAGCACAGGTTCTCATTAGAAGGGGAGGGTTTGAAGGACTGGAGCAGTGGGCTGCTCCCCCCAGGGGCCAGGAAGGCCTGCTGAGGCGGGTACACAGAGGGAGCGCTCTGTGCGGATAAAGTGCTGGTTGCTGTAAGATCGCCAACAAAAACACACATACATATAGAAGCGCTGATCAGAGCCAGGACACAAACACAGATTTAAAGTTTCTAGGGTCGAATTCATAAAAATCGTCTAATAAAAGAACGTACGAAATTTTGTTAACGCAGTTTTTGAAAAATTGTTGAAGGAATAGTATACCCCAAGATGAAAATTTGCTTACATCTTGCCATTCAAGATTTTTTATTAATCATCAGAACAGATTTGGAGAAATTTAGCATTGCATCCTCTGCAGTGAATGGGTGCCGCCAGAATCGGAGTCCAAGCAGCTGATAAAAACATCACAATAATCCACACTCCATTTTCTTACAAACATGCTACTTTTCACTTCGCAAAACATTAATCAATGTACTGGAGTGGTGTGGATTACTTGTGGATTATTGTGATGTTTTATCAGCTGTTTGGACTCATTATGACGGCACCCATTCACTGCAGATGATCCACTGGTGAGCCAGTGATGTAATGCCAAATATTTCCAAATCTTGGATGGACTGAGGGTACTTTTTTTATTTTAGCAAATTTTGTGGTGTACTATTTCTTTAAGACTGAAAATATTATTTATATTAAATATTTAACATTTTTTCTTAAAAAAAATAAAAATTGAAGAGACTATTTATTTATTCATTTACACCAAGTTTATTTACAATGCTTTTAAACAAAATTATTTTTCATCCAAGTTTCATCTTTGTATAAAACAAACTTGAGAAAAAAAGAAATATTCTGTATTCCAAAAAAAAAAAAACTTCACTCTTTAGTTAGAAAATAAGAAGACAATACCAGTGAACACAACCCCTGATTTGCACAAAAAGGCAAAGCAGAACAAGTGAATACCTGGCTGTACAGGACTCTTGCTTCCCTGTGAGCTACTGCGGCTGGATTTGCTGCTTTTGCTCTTGGTGGGACGTCGTCTGCGGCCGGCTGGGTTCGCAACGGGAGGGTTGACCATGGTGGGAGGTGCTTTGCCCAAGCGAACAAAAAGGGCATCAATCTCTGCCTTCTGCTGGGTGTACAGAGCCTGACTCTCCATCATGTGCCTAGAAGGAAAATAAAGGAAGTCATAATTACACTGCATATCTTTAAACTATGTTACACTTTCCTGTTACAATATATTAATCAAAACCATACTTCTCCCTCAGCTTGCTGACTTCTCTCTTAAAGTCCTCGTCTTCAAACTCTGAGTCATTGTCACTGCTGAGGTAGGAGCTGACGGAGTTGTTGAGGCTCCCGGGGCTCTGAGCCGGACCGTTGCCTACAGCTGGATGGGCTTGAGGTGCCGACTGGGGTTCTGGGGAATGTAATCTTGCTACAGGAGCCTCGTCCTGTTCTCTGCTCACTGAGAAACGGCCCACCTGTGTGTCAGTCTTGGAAGTCACCTGAAAACGGCCAATGGTGGTGGGCTGGGGGTGGGTTGTCATCTGGTTGGGGAGAGCAGGGAGGCCGTCAACCAAATCTGCTTTCGTGTCCCTAAGGTGAGAGGAGGTTCGGTGCAGCGTGTTCTCGGGGCTAGAGAGAGTGGAGGAGGATGATGAAAAGGAGGTGGTGGTGGAGGAAGAAGATGTGGAGGATGAGTCATGGGAGGTGGTGGGAGCCTGCGGGGCGTTCTCATCAGGAGCCGCTGACACCTGAACGAGAGCGAGAACAAGAGTTCCATCTGCTGTCATACTAAAACACTATGAACATCCCGTTCCATTTATCACATTGCGAATTCAAGGTACCTGGAATCGTCCCAGTTTGTATCCTCCAGCTGCAGGTGCAGCTGCTGTCTCATCATCCAGAGAAAACGGAACTGAAAGAGAATCATCATTAATAAGCAGAGCTGATAATGAGCCCATGTAATATGAGAACAGGCTTAACTTTTTAGCTGCCTACTTTTTGTTTAAAGAACATGTTAAAGTAAAATTGGCAGCACATACCTGGTTGTCCTCCAGGTGGCATCCCAGTGATGGATGACTACAGGGATGGAAAAAGGATGAGAAACAGATTACAGACATTTATAGATAATGTGCAAATTAAATGAAGAAAAGTTGATTAATTATTTAAATAAAAAATTTTAAATAATAAAAAATGAATATATATACACTGAACAAAATTATAAATGCAACATTTTTGTTTTTGCCCCCATTTTTCATGAGCTGAACTCAAAGATCTAAGACTTTTTCTATGTACACAAAAGGCCTATTTCTCTCAAATATTGTTCACAGATCTGTCTTAATCTGTTAGTGAGCACTTCTCCTTTGCCGAGATAATCCATCCACCTCACAGGTGTGGCATATCAAGATGCTGATTAGACAGCATGATTATTGCACAGGTGTGCCTTAGGCTGGCCACAATAAAAGGCCACTCTAAAATGTGCAGGTGAGTATGCTGGCCATGCAAGAAGTTTTCAGCTTCCAGGAATTGTGTACAGATCCTTGCAACATGGGGCCGTGCATTATCATGCTGCAACATGAGGTAATGGTCATGGATGAATGGCACAACAATGGGCCTCAGGATCTCGTCACGGTATCTCTGTGCATTCAAAACGGCATCAATAAAATGCACTGGTGTTCGTTGTCCGCCTGCCCATACCATAACTCCACCACCACCATGGGCCACTCGATCCACAACGTTGACATCAGCAAACCGCTCACCCATAGTATTGAGAATTAGTTTTTTTTTGCATTATAGCACTTACAGTTGAGGGACAGTTTTCTTTTAATTTAAATTAAAATAATGACACAATTCAAAAAATCGTAACTGTGCTAAAAATAGGCTTTATTTGCTTTGTAAAAATATAATTCATTTTTTTCTTTGATTTTGTGGTATGACCTATACACGTTGACAGGTTTCTTGAGAAACTTTAAATCAGCCTTTTGAATTTTTGACAAATAGGTCACTCACCGGTAATCTTGATAATGGCGCTTTGGATGGAGTCGTCTGACTGTAGCCGACCGGTGTGGAGGCATTACCCATCGATGTCATGGGAGAGCCTGTGGGCTGACCAGAGTTAAGGGGTAAACTAGAGGGAGGGAGAGGGGTGCCGGTAGGGGTGGCGCAGGCAGTTGGAGAGGAGGTGCCAGGGACACTTGTGGCCGCCATGGGGTCAGATGTGACATCAGACTGGGCAGAGGGAGGACCAGAGCCCAGGTCCATGAAGAGCGAGCGCAGCTTTTTATCTAGAGCCTGAATGTCATCAACACCCTTTCCCTGCGAGTCGCTGTCACATTCTACACAATGTGCATGGCTCTGATTGGGCACGGTGGAGGTTTGAGGTTGGCTGTGCATGGGTGTGGGCTGCACGACGGGTATGTTGGTGGTAACCGGCTGGAGGGTGGGCACTTGTGACTGAGCAGCCGAAGTGGGAATAACCGTGGTGGTGGATGGTGCGAGCGGCGGTGTCTGGATGGCTGTGGTGGGGATGACTGGTGGTGTGAGCTGAGCTGAAGTGGAGGGGATGGGCGGCTGTTCACTACTACCACCAGAAACCGATCCCCTAGGACTCACGGGGTGAGCGAGCGGGGATGCAGTACAGGCAGGTGCGGGCATGGGGACTGAGGTTTGGGGGAAGGATGTGGTGGCAGGCACAGCTGGCATTGGCAGAGAGGAAGAAGTGGAAATAACACTGATGATGGCAGGTACAGCTTGACTTGGAGGCAGAGGGAGTTGCGAATGGGCTGGAGGGAAGGTCACAGAGGAGGCAGGAAGGGTAGGAGGAGGAGACGATGACCCTGGAGGGTTTATGGAGACAGAGGGTAGAGATGGTGAAGAGGTTACTTCAGAAGACACTGTGGGAGGGACCACCGGCGTGGCGCTAGAGTGCAAGGGTGCTGCGGCGGGAACCAGAGGGGGCATGGAGACATGGAGCATAGGCGGCGCAGTGCTGGGACCCGGGTCAAAACGGCCTTGGCGCATTTCAGAGAACGCCTGCTGTAGACTAACTGCAGACGCAGACATAGAAAGCCCCAAGGCAGGCAGTGCAACTGACACAACTGATAAAGAAGAAAAATTCAAGACAGAAATTAATATGCGGTTGCATAAGTTGTCTAACATCTTCTAGTCTAGGCTATTTGTACTGATCTTAAAATGTCTTTTCTGCATTTCTACTTCCTAATCTAGTTGTCAAACAAACCATGCATTGTAAATTACAAATACTGTTGTCTCATTGACTAATTGCTTTTGCACTGCTAAATGCATAAATGTATTATCTAACCTATAACATTATTTCACATAGTACACTCACAGGATGAAGGCTCTTCGATTGTGGGTTGGGGCGAGCTAAAGAACTGTTCCCTCAGTCTGGATTCAGGCACTGGACTCACGATAAACCTTCGGCCTGCAGAGTGGACCACCTGGGCAGCTGAACTAGGTGGCACACCTGAGAGGGAAAAAGATTTCAGTGCTGATGCATCATTAAAAGGGGACATTAACTTGTTTTACAAGTGGGACTGTAAGATTTACCTTGTTCAAGAGGTGCAGATGTGGTGGGCATATGCTGCTCGTGATCACTAATCGTCTGGAATCATTGGATATATATTGTTAACTGTGATGTTCACAAGAATCACTTCAACACAAAAACAGTACAACAAGGTATGTACCTGGCTGCGCTCTCTCTCCACACCTTTCTCATCTGCTGTTTCTATGACCTCTCGAATCTGCTCAATGAAGGACTCGCGCTCGCTCTCTAGAATGAATTCACTTTGTACCTAAGACATGACATAACGCCTCTTCTTAATGAGTTTTGGCATCTCAATGTGTATTTTGGAAACAGAAATGTAATTTTATTCGACATCAGCTTTTTGATCAAGATCAAAAGAAATCACAGGTTAATTGAGCATATCTGTTCAGTATTAAAAATGCGGGTGGTGTTTCAAGTTACCATTATCTGTGCAATTTCCTCTGGGTTATCGCCGTCGAGATCAAACTTGAAAGTCACCATTTTTCTGTTGTGTGTTTCTAATTGACACTCCGCAACTCTATCGCCCATTCTGGATATCTGAAACACACATCATGTTTTATTTAACATCTCGTGTTTTTTCCCCACCATCAAAAACTACAAAAACAATAAAAAAAAAAGGCCAATGTGTTCGACGTACATTAAGAACGTTGAGCTTAGCCTTTGAGGTTTTTTCATGGCGTGAACGGCTGCGTACTGATCTGCGCTGGTGTCTTTTGGCAGAACGACCCTCATGCCTGCCACCCGTTACGCCCTCATTACCATCGCTATGCCCAGATGCCACATCAGAATGACAGCTAATTAAAAAAAAAGAAGTGAAAACACCATTACGACTTTAGTAGTACATCACACTGCATCTGCGTCCACTGAGTATGCTTTTGCATTGTTTTTCACTTACTGATAAACACATTGTGAATCTGCTAAATGGTGATTCTTACCTCTCCACAGCAGGAGTTTGGAGTTGTGACAGCTCTGTCGTCAAAGTCTGAGAGACGCTATGAGATGTCTGGAAGAGCAAACAACAAAAACAAAGGAATTGTAATAGGAAGAGATGCAAACAATCAGATCAAAGAAGACAAAATAACAATACATGTCTAAATAAAAAGTACAACTGCTTCAGGCAAAGCCTGAGTGTTTCTAAAAAAATAACAGATCTTATTTCACAGCCGAGAAAAGAAAGGACGCTGCGTAAGGACAGCTAAGCAGCTATGCTTCCCAGACAAATAGAGATAAAAAAATAAGCATGACATGTCAATACAATAGCTTTGCCCTAATAAAGCAAACAAAAGCTGTCTGCACTGATGCGTTTGGGGCCGGTTCGGTCTGTTCCAGGTACCTGCGCTGGGGTGTCTGATGGCAAACATGGATGTTCGTTGGGGGAAGGGACTGTGGCCACATGGATGGTTGGCACAGGTGTCATTAGAGGCGGCACCAATTGGGGCAGATGGGGTGGCAGCGCTGATGGGGACGTAGTTGGAGCAGGCACAGCTGCCGGGCATGTCAGCGCTTCAGGCACTGGCTGCTGCGGAAACGGGGCAACTGCTATTGTTGGCGCGCAGAGAAGCTGGGGGAAAGTACGAGAGGGGTTGCTGGATTAGATCAGTGTGGTTGGGATGATGGAGGAGGAGGGAAATGTGTCTGCAAGCACCGACCGAGGGAGATGGAGACGGCAAGGCCAGTTTATGTGCAAAAGGAGTGATGTCTTAATAAACCGAAGGCAAACAATCATGAGATCAGACCACATGACAGAGACAGCATGCCACGGGGTGAATGGTGGATCACAATGACCGCAAGCAAAACACACATGAAAAACAAACTCTAATTTAAGCGCCAAACTCTTATTAGATTAAGTTAGGAGGGGCGCCTTTCTCTAAGTGCCTATAAACGTTCTCACGGTCAACAACACACTAAATAAAATCCAAATCCAACACTACATCAAACACAAATAACACAATTTATTGATTTGTGACAGAACCCACATCTGACAAATCACAAGTAAACAACTTTTCTGTGCCACTACGGTGTACCTGTGCTTTCAGCTGAAGGGAAAACAATAGCTCTGCACAAAACATTGGGAACTGAACAGAGAGACTGATCTCATTACCACACGACTGACAACCATGCAACATACAGGCAGAAACATGCCAGAAAACATCTATCAAACAAGCACAGCCGAGGCACGTCAGAGAGACGGCCACAGATACACTGTACATTGTTTTGAAACAGAAAAAGAGGGAAAGAAAAACAAACAAAAAGAAGAAAAAACATCTACGAAGTAATTTACTAAGTTGACATGAAACTGCACACAGACACACACACACACACACACACAATATAATGCTATATATTTTAATGTTTCAGTAGTAATGCAAAACATGTATAATACATTTTAATTTTAATTTATAATTTGTATTATAAATATATTTAACATTACTACTTAAACATAATAAATCTTTAAATATGTATAATATAAAATATTAATATATTTTTAAATGTATATACAAACATTAAAATTTTTATTTATTTATTTATTTATTATTTTTTCAGCATTTTTGCTTTTAGCTTGATTTGCTTGATTTATCACATTTGATTGTACCTGTGTGGGCTGGGGGCTGGGCTGGACCTGCATCTGGGAGCTGCTCTGAACCACAGTGCTGGGAGGCTGTTGGTGTAACGAGACTCCTGGTTGGGATGTCGGCCCCAGAGAAGCCTGTTGCGGAACAGCAGCCTAAAAAGAAAGTAAGCATTTTGGCATGAAATACTCTCTATCCCAATCTCCAAGCCTTAGAAAATTAGTACATTTTAGGATCATATGCAGTTTGCACTCAACCAGCTTATCCTATTAGGCCTAACAAAACATTGACATTTTCATTTACAGTAATGCCCTTAACATGCAAGTCTATGATGGGGCAAGGCATTGCACAAGATCATAATACCGTAACCCATAACTATGAGTTTAACCGGACAGTGTTCCCACCACTAAAATAAGCACTTACAAAAATACTAGCTTCACATTCTTGCTTTGAAACCCATTTGAATGTCTTGGCCCATAGACCTACATTGCAAGTGCATTACTGCAAATCAGATTTTTGTTTTTACAAACCAAAGGACAAAACTATGGTGTGTACACATCAGAGACGCTGTTCACGGTGCTAAACCTGGAACATTCCTTTATTAACACCTTTAAATAACTTACCTTTGAAGAACAACTCAACATAGACATACTAAACTTTATTTAATTTGCACACTCATTGATTTTGACCTCGGTCTTCAAGACATTGACAAGCTTTTCAAGCCTCATTCAAACAGAGCAACATTTTGTCACCTACAGTACCTCATTATGCAATAATGTAATGACAAAACTTAAGATGGCAAGGCAAAGAGCTTCAACGTAAAGTACAGGTAAATGAGAAAATAGGGCGAGAGAAAAAGAGGAAGAGAGAGAATGAGAGGAATGGGGTTTTTCTCTACCTGCGAAGGGAGTGCTTGGACGTAGTAACCTCCATACTATAAGAAACAAATACAACACAGTGTAAGAGAGAGCCACCTCTGATGTCCAGAGCTTTCACATGCAGGAGAGAATCCAGAGAGATTTAAAAAAAAAAAAAAAAAAAAAAAAACTCAAAAAGGTCTTGGGAGTGTTTGGAAAATGAGTGCTTTATTTGCCTTGGCCAATATTGGATATTCATTTATGCTAACGAATGGGGGAAAATATCATTCTGATTGGTCAGACACATTGATCTTACCTGTTGAGAAGCAGAAGCGGCTAATGGGGTGCTGCAGGAAACCAGAGACATGGCACTTGCGGACTGAGGGATTGGGACCTGCACCTGTTACGAATATGAAGAGGAATATGGGGGCAGGCGAGAAAGAGAGAGAGAAACAGAGAGAGAGAAAGAGATATGGCAGTGGTGGAGAGATGAAAAGAAAAAAAGACAAGTCAAAATATGTTGGTGGCTACAGCGAAAAACAACAATGACTTTCAAATACTGACCATTCATACACAAAGTGTGAACACTCTGAGCAATGCACTCAGATCACCATTCACTTTTTGTGTATGCCTCTCACATCTCACGATTAAACGACAAACAAACATCAGGTGTTAGCCAGGGAAGTGAGTAGGCTTCATGCATGTGACTCTACATGATTCTGTAGTTCGGGTGAATGTTATTAAAAAAAAAAAGCTCAGGGAAGCATGTGGAGTTGTTTGTATAACCAAGAAAGCGTCTCCTAAAATAGACCCGACCACTGACATTGCTCAATTTGACCACTTTCCCCCCACATGGAGGGTTTCGACAGAAGCAACCCTTAGAAAGCTACAAGTATACTTGTCCTTTAACTTCTTTTCTGCGAGGTACAGACAAGTATAGTTGCCCCAGATGCAGATCACCTTACCTTGGCATTATACTGAAGAATTTATTCATTATTAGCAAGAGGTTTAAGGAGCAGCAGGAAATAGAGTAGCCTTGGCAGATAAGAGGATGAAAATAACAGTAGTACAAAAGATAAAGAGAGGCAGAAAATAGGGCCGGAGAATGAGACTACAGGATGACATTGATAATGCCAGCCTTCTAAGGGTTAAAAATGACTTCTCAGTTAACGAAGTTAACATCCTAAAAGTAGTCAACAAATGTTGAGTTCTTGCGCTGGTAGGCTGTTTCTCGACTGGTGTCCTCAACAAAGACAAAATTGAAAACTGAAAGTCACTGAGAACCGTTTTAACCATTTCCAGCCAACTATGATGTAGCAGCAGATCTAAAAAGCAGCTGTTAAGGTAGAATACAACCAAAAAACTATTTTTTTTGTAAGGAAGATTAGAGGAACCTTAAGAGACAAGCAAACCTGTCTAAACCCCCTCTTTATGTTGTATGTGTCTGTGTGTTTGGTCATACAAATCCTGCATTCAAGCCTCTTTTTAAGTATCTTCAAATCCTTTAAAAAACATATTTCGAGTGTTGATTATTGACCTTTATAATTCAAATAATTTGAAAGAGGCAATCAAAACTTCAGATTTGTATGCCATCTAGATATGTAGCGTTACACAATATCTGTGCAAACACACAAGTATCATATACACCACTATATGAACATACACACAAAATAATACTTACAAAGTGAATCTGAAATGAAAAATCAATGGAAATAAAACGAATCACACCGTCCAATGGAAGACACAGAAATGTCTTTGCACAAGGGGATTTAAAAAGCAGGTTTATACATTTAGCTCAATGCACCTTGTGAACCTTTCTGAGCTCTAAATTATGGCTGGAGAGGGTTAAAACCACAACCACGGGACAAAAAAAAAAATCAGGTAACTGAGATAGAGACAGGGAGTGCTGGGGAAAGGTGGACGAAAATGAGTATTTCTAGGTACCAAGGTAGCGCCCTGATGGGACAAGGCTGGCTCGTGGTATGTGAGGTCCGGTGGAAGGGATGGTTGACGGGCCCAAGTACTGTGCAGAGCAGTGATGTGTGAGGACGGAACGGTGGACGATTCAGAAGGTGGAACGAACAGAAACGTTGTCTGACTGGGTGGGTGTCCTTCGCTGATGTTACTCCCTCCATCTGTTTTGTAGTAAGACGTTTGTGGGATGGATTGAGCAGCGGAACAGTCTTGAGGTTGGTACAACTGATGAGGCGGAGGCGAGTGGAACTCCCCAGCATCGGAGGAGGTCATAGAGTCACTTGAAGGTTCAGGACTGAGTTCTTTAGGTCCATGGAGAAGCAGGCTGCCCGGGGGAAGGGGCAGCTCTGGGCTCACATAGCTGTATAGTTCTTCGGTGACAGGCTGTAGTCGTCCACACAAGCCCTGGTTGCCAGTCGGTTCCTCGAGGTTAAGGTCCATGGAGCCCCGGCGGGCTCGGTAGAGTCTGGATGCCAGCAGGGCTGGGTCCGCCTGGAGGTTGTGCATGTGGTATTCAAAGGCAGTGCTCGGCTCGGATGTATGAGCCAAGACGGGTGGTGCGGAATGGGGAAAATAGTGGGGCTGATACGCTGGATCTGCAGCTGTGGTTTGCTGCGGTGCAGAGGCAGAGCTAGACACACTCATGGGAGGCAGTTGCGGGATGGGGCTGTGGGTCAAGCGTATGTGGCTCTGGACATGAGGGTGTAGGTAAGATGGCCCAGGCTGTGATTGAGTCTCATAGGCCAAGCTAGCAGCAGCGGCAGCCTGCATTTGCTGATGGAAGCTGATGTGGCTTAGCTGATGTGCAGTCATAGGGTAGCCACTATAGGCCATGGCTTCCAGATGGTCCATTAATGCAGCCTGGTTGAGGCTGAGTCTGCGTACAGCCTCCTCTTGCTCGGCCCTCACGTCCTTATATCCGTATAATGACTCTGCTGGGGGCTGTAGGTGCAGTGGCTCGGCCAATCTTTGAGGCGCCATACTGGGCATCATGAACAGGGAGGGTTCGACGCCGGGGCCCAGAGCTTCCATGCCAGAAAATGGGTGCAGGCTGCTGCCGTAGCTACGATGGTAGGCGGGCTGGAAGTGACGAGTGTGGGCCTCCAGGATGGAGGTGCTCTTGCGGCGCTGCACGTTAAAAGCTTTAGGCGGGCAAGATGGTGGGGGGGAGAACGAGACGGGCCGTTCCGGGAAGGTGGGGTAAAAGAGCGTGGGCTCGACCAGACCTGAGCCTCCTCCACCGTACGGCTGACTCGCTGATTGTGGCTGCGGTGACAATAACATACAGCATCTTTGTGAGGAAGTAGAAAAAGCAGCATCACAAAATTCAAAGCAAGAGAAAGAGAGAGAGAAAATAAAAATATGACATGTGAAAACACAGCAGATTATATTCATCCAGTCAGGCAAAGATGACATAAGGAATACGTTAAGAGATGTTTAACTGCTAAATGAGGTGTAGAAACATGACAGTGACAGATTTACAATTAAATACAGATGCCTTACAGGCTGTGGGGCCGAGGAACCATTTTTAATGATTGCAGTTCATGCCAATCTGTATTTAATGTGAGTACAGGGTTCCAGCCGAGTGGGCCAGGGTAACATGTTTATCTGAAAAATACTTTAATATGTCTTCATTTGCTCAAAACTGACCTGTGGTCAACCCCTCATATTCTCAAGATTTATAACTCATCAGAGCAATGATTTAATCAGATTATTGGCTCAAGTGACTATGCAACTATGAACCTTTGACATACAAGAAAAGATATAAACAAGCTATTTATACTTGATAACGGCTAATTTGTGAAACTGCATTATTCATAACACGCTACTTTTTGCTAGCTTAATGCTTACATTCCTAAGAGACTAACATCAGCTGGGGACTAGACAGACTTAAAAAGAACTGCAGTTTGCATTTTTAAGTCCAATAATGGTTTTAATGTTAACACTAAACACTTAAGAGATTGTTAGGCTTAAATGTAATGTTTTTGGATTCTGAATAGCTCACTTTGACTTAATAATGTAGAAGGATGCCATTTCATTTTTAGATCACACCTTTGGTGTTTTAGGGATGTAAATATTGGCCCTGAAAACAAATAAATTTTACTGCATAAATTTGGATTATATTTGCACTCCCAAAACTCTTTAAGCTTGTTTTGTCTTCTTATTTTAATAAAAGTATTCTTCACAGATACCCATGTTGTACCCAAGTCCAGCACAGCAGGAGAATCCTGGTTCACTGGGAGACACTAACATACAGGACTGGCAAATATTGCTGGGAGACTGGCACGGCGACGGGGCGGGGCTGAATGAATGGGCAGGACACTCTCCAGTGCTTTGGACAGTCGGCCCGCAAACGTCTCCCCATCTGGCCTCCCCAGCCGGGGCGAGAGCGGGGCTGATACGATTGGTGGAGGGGTGGAAGGTGGCTTGGGAGGACACGACAGAGCAGAGGTGGTAGAAAAGCAGGGCACGCAAACAGACATGCTACGACGACGGGGAAGAGGTGGAGGAGGCTGGAGGTGAAGGAGGAGAATTGACTATTAACCACAATGGAACACAAATGACACAAAAAGCCAAATAACCAAAAGAAAACTACAAATAACTTTTGATACAAGATTAAATATCAACATTGCATTCTAAGATACTACACAGAAAGAAAAGCGACATTGATCTATAAACTTTGACCTACATACAAAGGTTACATGTTGATTAAATCTAACATCTGCTGTCGAGTCAGATCAAAAGAATGAGCCTGGTTCAATTGATGATTTATGATGTTTCAAAATGTGTTATGTGTCATGTGTTATCAGTAACAGAAACATTTATGCTATGATATGATTGCATGTGACAATATCAATACCTGATTCATGAATCATGAATTGTGAGCAGATTTTTAGATTAAATTAATACTTTTCAAAACTGATCTGAGATTAATCAGGTTGCATGTTGTTACACGGAAACTTGGTGTGTTAATAACTGGAAAATATATGGATAAAAACTAAAGAAATGGCACAAAAAATGACATTGTCACTGCTTAAGCAGCATCCAGACTCCAAGAAATCTACAGCATAGACAGTCTACCATGTAGACAATGGATACAAATTGAGGTTAGCAAAGTCCATGAAAACATCGCAGAAAATCGTTCCTCTGAGATGTTTTATGATATAGAACAGCATAAAAAAGTATATACAGAATATGGACAGCAAAAACAAAGACCACAAACAGCACATTGGGTATAAAAACAGAAGAACAAAAATAAATGTACAATAACAGTCATCAGTGCCGTGCAGACTTTGAGTTGGAACTAACCAGGCAGTCAGGTGAGACGGTATTTATTAATAATAAAAGTAAATCATTAGAAGTTGCACATACAGACAATTAGAGTAACAGAGAGTATTTGACATCAAGGTGTGTGCTTATGATTAAAGTGTTTCAGGCTCTATGGAAAATTATGCAAACTAATTCAAAACTAATGAGTAAGAAGAGATGAGAAACTTGTTAAAAAAAATTCAAAGTCCCTGAGAAAGATCCAGACAATGCCCTCTATGAATGACGTGACGCTGATGTAGTGAAATGATCATGGTTTAGGTGCCCAGGATGGCGAAAACAACCATCTAGGAAGTGATGAATGCCCACCAGTCTGCACAGCATGATACACTGCTACATGGCACTTCCTTTTTGGGAGGAATCAAAAATACTGACATGAAACAAAAATAAATAAGGTAAAGTAATCCAAAGAATGTATTACAATGCAAAGAGAATGAAGAGGGAGTGGCAGCTCAAGTAAACGTGGGAAGTGGAAATATACTTGGCAGTCAGAAAATAAAGAAAAAGTGAGACAAAGAGAGAGAGAGAGAGAGAAAGAAAGAACAGAGCAGGCTGTATGAAAAGAATCAAACCCATTTAGAGTGTAGACGTTATGGCTTTGCTTTCCTTTCTCATGCATCATTCATTTAGTGTCTGATAATAACAAACCATCATCAAACTCCAAAGATAAATACATGCAACCACAAAGAGATCATATTCAAAAGTCAAACAACAATTGAACATTGATTCATGATTCATTTGTTACTCAATCAAGGCTACACAAATTCTCTAAAGATCATATCTTTATTGCTTCATTGGGTTCTTACCTTTGTACAACATGAAATATTATGGGAGACATTTTAACTAAATAGGTTCTAACTGAAGATAAACATGTGGCCACATGATTTATTAAATTAACCTGTCAAAATCAAGGCCAAGCGTACACTACCATATAGAAACATGTTTTCCTGAGTGCATTTAACAACCCAGTTTCTTGTTTTCCATCGTATTGTCATTGTTATTATGCTATATATATATATATGTATATATATATATAGTTGCTTTTTGCATTTTAACAGCTTTGTGCATCAGTGAATCTTTTGAGAAGTTGGTATGGTACACTGATCATCATTTTGGCTAGAAAATGCTACTAGAATGTTGTGTGGAATTCGTCCGTAGGCATCAGTTGCAAAAATCAGATTAAGGATGCAACTACGTGACCTGCTACACTGAACCTGCAATTAGGTGTTGAGTTCTTGACTTTGGCCCTTCTTCTTCTGTGACTTACCATGGGCTGCTGGGGGTATGCGGTGTGCTGTTGGGGAGCTTGAGAGCTGGGAGGGTAGGCGGCCTGTCCAGGCACCTGCTGGGGTTGCGACGCGGCAGGAGAACTATACGACATGCTGAGCTGGCTGAGGTGAGGTTCTGAGAACACGGATGAACCCTGACCACTGTCAAGCGTCCCGTCAGCCACTGGAAAAAGATATGACATTCATAATTAAATATGAAATGACAGGTAGGCTGATGGACTGATAGATTGCGTCTAACACTTACAGGTCATTCCCCTTTGCATGCAATGAAGCTGATGGTCAACATCAGACTCCTCACACTCGGGCTGGACGAGGCCAGGAGTTGGAGGCTGGGAACCACACTGGCTCTGTGCAGAACCTTGAGAGCTGGGCACGTTCTTCAAAGACTCGCTGGACAACTGCTTCTGCTCCTCTTCCTGCTTGCGTTTCTCTTGCTCGGCTCGCACCTGCTGTCTTTGCTCTCGTTTGCGGCAGATCAGGGACACACGGTCTCTGATGGCCTTGGCCATGGTTTTGTGGTCGCCCTCGCAAACATAGCCAGACTCAACCTGTATTTAAACATAGCATATGTTACCATCTACTGTACATGTGCTATATCTGATTCAGAGAATCGTTGATAAACCCACCATTTCCTGAGCCACATCTTCTGGCACGTCCCGATGGAGGTCGAAGGAAAACTCGATGGCTTCGTTGTCTTTGTATTTGCCTTTCAGTTTCTTGACATCTTCAATGCGCAACCAGAGCTTGATGGCGATCATCTCCCCATCGTCCTCTTCAGCCAGCTCCACCCGCACCCCAGTCTCCTCCTGGAAGAAGGCATGGTTCAGAAGGTCCTTGATGGCATATCTGGTAAGCAAGATGATAAGCAGACAAGGCAAAGATGTTAAATAAGATCAGATATATATATATAGCCAATCAATAAAATTAATTTAGAAGCACGTGGCTGACAAACCAAATCACATTTATTACACTGGTGGTGGATGAGGAGATCTCCCCCTCACAATGTAAAGCACTTTGAGTGCCTAGAAAAGCTATATAAATGTAATGAATTATTAATTATTATTATTATTATCTAATTTGGAGGCACAAGGTGGAACATTGGGGTTGTCCAGGATGGATTAATAAAAGAGTCACTGAATGATTCAAGATAGGCGAAGTCAAGCAAAATAAACTAAAAATATCGAGGACCTGACTTGAATTTGAGTGTCTCATGATCAAATTGATGTTTATTGGGTTTCAGAATTCAACCAGACATGAAGTTTTATAACGTGGCGCCATTCTGTGGCGATGTCGCATCAATGTCATGAAAAAAACTTCAGCATCCCTGGTTGTGTAGCGATAAATATTATATCCAATATTATATCCGGTTCCATTTGATTCCATGGAACGAACTCATTCTCAATTCACAACCCAACAAGAGGAGACATAAGAGGAAATCTATGAATGTTTAACATGAACTCCAAATAAAATGTGCATATATTAACAAATTAAACCACACAGGATGTACGTACAGGGATTGACCAATTAAAACACATTTAAAAAGAGCTGATCCATGTCACCTGCATGGAACGATAGATATAAGGGTAAAGGATAAGACTGCACAATCTTTTTTACCAAGTCAAAAAAAATCTCAAGCGGGCTCTGTTGATTAGCTGGATATAGTAGACGTCAGCTTTTCCAGTGCTTCATCAGCAGAACATCAGATGTCGTCTCACCTTACGCTCGACACGCTGTTTGCAATTTTCCATTCAATTTTTTTATGCACTGAAGCAAAACAGAGCATCAACTTTATGACTTTCCACAAATTATTAGGAAAAATACTTCAGATGGTGATCAAGATCATTAAAAAAAACATATTATAGCTAAAATTCACACTCGCCCGCTCCCGTAGAAAAATATCTTATCTGTGACCACTCCCGCCCGCGACATTCATGTTTTATCCCGCTCCAGCCCGCATAAAAGTAATCTATACAGATTTTTTTCAGCACATCAAAGACATTTACATTAAATGGTTCTGTAACATCTAAGATACACAACATCCCAGCATAAATGCTCCTGATAAAATATTTGTTATTTAGGCTAAGCATCAACATTAACAAACCACTGTTATTTTTAACAGAAAAGCAAGCATGGGCTGCTGCGTGCATGGTTTGGCATGGCAGAATGCGAGCAGCGCTTCCTTTATTATCACTAAAAGCTGACATCTCAGTTCATCGCTATCTCATAAAGCTCTATTATAGCACAATGAACATATGCACAATGTTTATTATAACACAATCTTTCACAATGTCTACACTTCGTGTGTTAAAATGAGACGATTCGTGAGCACACAATTTCAGCACTGCGGTGAGTGGATTCTAACTTAATCACCTCTGGTTGGCCATTGCGTTCCAAAAATCAACAGCCGAGTCTGTGATTGGCAACATTGCAACTAGAGTCCGACCGATATATCGTTTTGGCGATATTACCGGCCGATATGAGCCTGTCGCCGATATATCGGCGAATATGCCGCCGATATGATTTTTTTTTTTTACAGAACATATAATGCAGATAAAATGCTTGAAATGGTGTAATTACTTAGTTTGTCCAGTCCGCGCTCCATTGTTTGCTACTGGCGACCTGGATGAAACGCTTTAAAGCTTAAGTCTATGGAAACGCGAATCGAGTGTACGTCTTGAGGCCCTCTTTCGAATGAGACCACCCCCGCGTGGATAGCCCCCGAGGTTCGGGAGTTACGGCTGGTTAAATTCGCGGTCCGGCGCCGACCGATCTATCGATCCCGGGGGGCTACCGACACGCGGAGGGTGGCGTTCGAGAGGGCTCCTCGAGCAGAAGGGATCCCCCGAATTTGGTGGAGATCCACCGGCGCGTTCGCGAGATAGTGACACCCGTCAACACTTTCCCTTCAGTAAGGAGGTCTCTTGTTCAGGCAGCATTCACGTGTTGTCTTATTCGACCGTAAGTGCCCTGCGAAGTGGACTTCACATGAAATTCCGCCATGATTCCAGTTCCAAGGGAACGTACACGTTACATTCAAAGGGCATTAAAGTGCGCGAGACGTGAATTTACATTGTATTTATTTACGGAGGTAGGGGAGAGCAGGGCACAAAGTAACACTTTTTGACTTTCTCAGTTTGTGTAAATCCACATGGGGCTCAGAACATATATATTTTTTATCCACAGTAATTTTACACTTAAACAAATATCTCGCTTTGTTTCATAATTACAGTGTATATGTTTTTCTTTATTGACCCTCAAAAAAATGGAAGTGAAATGTGACAACATGCCCCGTAGGTGGAACACATTGTAACATCTGAGGGGCACGTTGTAACTTGACCATATGACAGCTTAAAATCTTATCTGATCGAATGAAAAAAATATACAAGACAAACTAAAATATTTTATTAATAAATATATATATATATACAGTGGGGCAAAAAAGTATTTAGTCAGCCACCAATTGTGCAAGTTCTCCCACTTAAAAAGATGAGAGAGGCCTGTAATTTTCATCATAGGTATACCTCAACTATGAGAGACAAAATGAGAAAAAAAAATCCAGAAAATCATATTGTAGGATTTTTAAAGAATTAATTGGTAAATTCCTCGGTAAAATAAGTATTTGGTCACCTACAAACAAGCAAGATTTCTGGCTCTCACAGACCTGTAACTTCTTCTTTAAGAGGCTCCTCTGTCCTCCACTCATTACCTGTATTAATGGCATCAAATTTTGTTATTGACCAAATACTTATTTTCCACCATAATTTGCAAATAAATTCTTTAAAAATCCTACAATGTGATTTTCTGGATTTTTTTTCTCATTTTGTCTCTCATAGTTGAGGTATACCTATGATGAAAATTACAGGCCTCTCTCATCTTTTTAAGTGGGAGAACTTGCACAATTGGTGGCTGACTAAATACTTTTTTTCCCCACTGTATATATATATATTTTTTTGTTCAAGTAAAAAATGGCGTTTTTTAAGAATTAAAAATAATCTGATTTTGGAGTTTGACAATGAACACATTGCAACCATGCTCGGGATGGCCCACATAAACGAGCAAAAATGCTCTAAATAATAATTTCTAAACATTAAACATTGACTGTCAGTCTTTATTCACCTGTTTCTCATTAAAATGAAATACAACAAGTAAACAGTAAATAGTGTAAATTACATCGCTAATGTCATAGAATAGCACATTGTAACGCAGTGTTACAACGTGCCCCATCTGCGCAACTGGAATTTAAAACTGGTTAGTGTCTTCTGCTAGTAATCAAAGCATTAAAAAACTATCTGAACTGATAAATTACAGATTGGAGATTAAAATAATAGCAGATTTGTCTAATTTTAAATGAATAATAAAAACTGAGATAACAAATTTACTTAAGCCAGAATTTAAATGTTACTATGGTAAAATAAATATTCAAGCTACGTGTGTTACAACTAACACCCTGTTACTTTGTGCATCGCACTCATCGCAAGTTTATTGTTAAATTGTTAAATGCCCTTACATATCTCTGTCACCATTATAAGTGTTTGATCATCACACCGCAAAAAATTTGTTTATGTATATATATTCTGTTTATGTATATACTGTATTCTATATATAGTACCAGTCAAATGTTTGGACACACGAATGGGAAAGTGTCCAAACTTTTGACTGGTACTGTACTATAATATACACAAAGAATATCAGCCGATATATCGCCCATCAAGAGTTGTCCTGCGCCGCACCCTGTTGCGTTGGGTTCCGTGGTACTCCCGCGGGAGTGCAGGTCTCTAGGTCAAGGCTTGTTTTTTCTGTGGCGTGAGGACACAGCGCACTCTTCGCTGGCTTGGTGTGATCACAGATCCATTTCACAGAGTGGCTTGTTGCTGGAATTTTTCCAAAACAGCGTGTGGGAAACCACTTATCTACTGCTACTATTCACATTCCACATGGAGGACCATACGCCTAAAGATTGAGAAATAGACTCACGAGTTCATGGCACACGTCGCTGAGAACTGAGGTATGACTAGATGAATCTGAGTTCTGTGAACACAGCGTGGGTGTGGGTAGTAGGCACAGCCTTACCTTTCATCTTTGTTTTGGCGAATACATCCCTCGATGATCTCTTTCACCTCTGGAATGGCTACCTTGTCGAAACTGCCAGGTTTAACTCCCTGCGGGGTAAAAACACAAAAGAACATTAAATCAACATGTCTTTTGTGCTGTGAAAGAAATCCCTTTAGAGCTCCACAGGGACTCAACAGGACTACATATGGTGCACGCTTTAGTGCCTGCCAGGTGAAAACCATCTGATCAATTTCTCAACAAACCACACAATTTAAGATGGCAGAAGACGAGCCAAAGTTTAATACTTAAGGTTGAGAGTTTATTCAGATTCCTAACCGCAAGTATGAGCAATAGTGATGTCTGCCATAGTAAGCACTAATAATAAGTGTTTTTTGATGGCACAAGTATAAATGTGGCTTGCATTATGGTGAAACCCGTGACAGTCCAGATATAGCTGTTTATCTGACAGATTAATTCATTTTGCTGAACAAAGTTCCCAGTGATCAGGAACGCTTAAATCTATTAAGCCAGGATTTTTGAAGGAAGAAAATTGAATAGTTATGATGAATAATTAATATTATATTATATAATTATTAATATTATATATGAATAATAATAATGAATAATTTATGAATATTTTTTTTAATTGATAATATTATTTCCAAAAATATTTTAAAGATTCATTTTGGCTTTAGTACAATGATGACATATTTATCCAATTATTTACAGTAATTAATTATTTTAATTTATATTTAAAAAAAAAACTGAATTAAGATACACATAAAACACTAACACAGAATTCCTTTAGATTATAATTCAAATTAATATCTAACGGAAGTTGAGGGTACACAGAGTACTAGTACAAATTCTGCTCTAAAAAAAAGCAAATTTTACTACTAAATAATTTATCATTTACTTCACTCTTAAAAATACAGTCAAAACTTTGGTCACCTCAGGGGTAAATGTTTAATTCATTTTATTAAATTTCACTTTATCTCTACAAATCAGAATGGATTTCTAGCAACACACAATCTCATTACCAGGCCAGCCATCAGATTTAGCACTGGAAAACAACAAATTCCACAACGAGATAAAACCAACATATTACAAATCAATCTTACTCAACAAAAATCTTCTGCTACTTTTCCTGCTTTGTCTATTTTAAAAATTGTGAAATTACTTTTAAAATCATTTAAAATTGACAAAGCCTACATAGAGCTAGAGCTGTCAAAACCACCCAAGACAAAAAGAGTGCAAGAAACTTACAAGTGAAATCCAGGAACACTGTGTTGCTTTACAGAGTGGTCTGCCTGAACTATTACTCCCCCTGCCTCAGCATTACCTCCTTATATAAGTCTGTAACCCCCCTCAAATTCCAGTGCCAAACAAAGTTAAGGATGACGGAGTATCTAACAGAATTAAGGCAGAACGGTGAAGTATTCCGATAACAAGGTGATTTAAAAAGCTTGTTATGGACGCTGTGAATGGGTCCCCTAAAGCCAGATACATTCTGTTCCCCAGCTCTCCTACCGGTTAACAAAGGCAGTAAATTAGAAGCAATCATTTTGTATTTAACAAAGCAGAGAGAGAGGAGGGCTCCTGGAACAGCTGGGGGTGGATGTAGAAAAGGAACAAAAGCAATCTTCAACTCTCTACAACTCCCCAAGCGACAAAGTGTTATGATGCATAAGCATACTGAAGAATACTATTTTCTGGTTGAACTCCTTCGATGCCACATCTCGAAATTACTTTCAAGGGTTGGAAGATATAGCCAAATGACTGGGACATTATATCCAAACTAGACTTTTACCAGTTTTTTCATGCTCACCTCAAGTTTCTATGATATTCAGGTGAACATTATGGTACGAAATGCGATCAAGGGCTTATTTTGGACTCTTTTATCATCTGGTAAGCATAAATTGTGAATGTTAAGTTAAATTCTGAAGTGTAATACTTGGCAAGAGTACATCTACAGACAAGACTCACATGACTTTACACCACAAATCTGAAGCCATTGTTGCCAACAAACCAATTTTCCAGTGAATAAATGGCAACACTCTGTCCAGCTGCAGTGCCATTCATTTCAGCTCCACTTCTAAAGCATTTGCTTTAATCACTATAAAAATAAAAGGGAAGATCTGCATTGCAGTCAAACCTGTGTGGCTCTAATTCCATGAACACTTCAGTAAAACGGTCTGGCTGAAACCATTCCATGGTCCCTGCTTCGAGATTACAAGCAGCGTTTGCAGATGTTTCGAAAGAAAGAACAAATCTAAACCGTTTCATCGTAATGAAAGCATTTACTCTAGGCCTAGATGGGACAAGTCCCACATCTGTCTGTGAGGGTAACCTCGGGTCCACTGAGCTTAAAATGCTTTCTGATTGCGTAAAGCTTAAATTGCTTCTCTCAGTGAACTGTTGTGCCTGTGCGATTGGATTTCATGAGATTAAAAGGCCTTCAGGCAGGGTGGACGCCAGTTTTCCAGACAGGCGGATAGAACTGGTGAATTCTAGGATGTGCTCTGCACTTTCCAAAGCTAACAGGTGGAAAGGGTAACACCTCTACACCTGACTCAAGAGTGAGGATGAAAAGAAACAGACAGACTTTTCTGTACCACAATGTTGACTCAACAAAATCACTCTAGAACCTTCTACAATCACTTTTTCAATGACCAGAGTTACAAAAACATTTAGTCAAATGGAGAGGATTCAGTATGGAGAATCAGTACTGCTCCCTACTGGTGAGCCCCTCATTGGCTTATCACAGTCCTCAGCCAGTTGTTTTCTGCCTCTGCTGATCATATTTTCAACCTCCAGCATCATATGATCGCCCTATTGACCTGAACAAGAATAAAAAATATATACTCCCCCTCCTCTTCTCTGCCAATGACATTAAAGGACATCAATGAAGGGAAAGGCTGATTCAATTTATAAACTACAGCAACAGGACTGGCATTTTCCAGCCTTCTAACAATGGTCTTGTATTCATATATAGCTGTACTCTCAGGGACGTTCACCTCCATTGTTCTGACGACAACATTGTATGTTCATAAATAGATGGACACTTTTAAGCACCTTCAATGATGATTACATCACAATGGCTTAAAAGAGATCTGAAATAAATAAATCCAAGAGAAACTGAAAAAAAAATATGACTGCGGAATATTTTGAATTCAAACGAGACCAAGTCAGTCAAACACGAAACTACATTAAAGCCAGAGAGAGCAATTGTTTGAGCCAGAGACTGACTTAATGGAAAGTCAACACATGACGCACCACAAGCTGATATCAGTGACGGCTGTAAAGTGGATTTAATCAAAGCAAAATTTTTTATTGCGACTGGCAGGATAAAAAGAACCTTACACATCCAGATATCCAACTGTTTTAATTTTGGACAATTACTTCTTACAGGGTGGGTCTGGGATAAAGCTGGGCTGTATGACGACCAGCAAACTGGTCAAAATGAGGAATCTTAAGGAGTTTTCTTTTCTTCTTTTCAATAGCTTTGAAAGTGGCTCATCCAGTCAGAATTTAGTCACAACAGTGTTTTATAATGTAAGCTCTTGTTTATAAATTTTATTTTGCACAGATGCCAGACTTTTTCAGATGTTCATTGTAAATAATCTTCTTCATTTCCATAAAAAAAACTAAACAAAAAAAAAGTAAATAGAAGAAATAATAATAAATTCAGATGACGTAATAATAAATTTACTGACTTATCCAAAAATAGGTATTACCATATACATATTAAAATATATATTTTTATAGAAATTAATACTTGTATTCAGCAAGGATGCATTAAATTAATCAAAACTGACAGTAAACATTTATCATGTTAAAAAGGAGATATGTTTCAAATAATTATATTGAATTCAATTAAATTCCATTTCAACAATTATAAGAAGAAATATTTCTTAAGCAGCAAATCAGCATATTAGAATGATTTCTGAAAGATCATGTGACACTGAAGACTGGAGTAATGATGCAGAAAATTCAGCTTTGCCATCACAGAAATAAATTAAATGTTAAAATATATTACAATAATATTTCATATTTCAATACAATATATTTATATTTCACAACATTACTGTTTTCATTTTATTTTTGATCAAATAAATGCAGCCTTGGTGAGCAAACTTTTGAACATTAATGTATATTGTGATATATATACACTGTTAATATTACATAAAAGTAAGATTTTGGTCATACCACCTACTCCTCGTCACACAAAACCATTCATTTGAATGACACAGTTGTAAGTTGCTTACATAATCTCATGTATAGTGTAACGCCTCCAGCTGTGGGCAGGTTCCAGCTAGCGCATAACAGAACAAGCTTCTTTTATTGAATTATTTCATAAGCAGAATCCTGAAAAATGTGGGGGTGTAATGACAGAGCTGGCGAAGATTATAGCAGAAGGAGAGAGAACGAGGCACCCAAAGAGAATGAGGCACAGAGAGTGAGCAGAGGTGTGCGAGGGTACTCACGCTGGTGACTCGCCGATAGATTTGAGCAGGGTTCTGACACTCGGAGTACGGGTACTCAGAGGTAGCCATCTCCAGCATGCACATTCCGAAGGCGTACACATCCACCGACTCGTCGTATTTTTCCTCGTACATCTCAGGTGCCATGAACTCAGGGGTACCTTAAATCAAAAGAACCATTCAGAACTCTCAGTGCCTGAGATCTCTACTCACCCCAGCAGGGCCGGGGAGAGGAAGGGAGAGAGGAGGTGTAGGACAACTGCACTGTTGCTCCGTACGGCCCTGAGAGGAGAGAAAGAGGGGGAGCAAAAGATATGGAGAAAAGGAAAAATAAAAATAAAAAAAGAGGAAGGGGGAAAACCGGCCTCAGTTAGTTAGCAGTGAAAGAATCCAGTTTTTCTCTGCAAGGCCTTTAGATTTTCTATTGCAGTACTTTAGACTAGTGCACAAAGCAGCCAAGCATCATCTCGCAAACAGGAAGTTGATTTAAGCCAGACGCACATGCGTTGGTGCAGGTTACTTTTAAAGCTGATTTATGGGCTTCGAAACCGTGTTTATCTTTACAACACGGCCGTGCCGCCAACATGTTAAATGACGTACTCAGCGGTGGGCGACTAGCTATGGAACTTGATCTATGTCAACAACACAGTTATGGAAAACACATGACCGACTCACCTTTCTACTAGCCTGTAAGGAGAGAAGGTTAAGCAGGTTAAAGCACAGAGCAAGCCCATAGCTAGTGAGCGAAGACTCTCGTGCACTAGCGTGTGTTAAAAGGCCTCGCACAGGAAAACGAGCTAACATATAGATTCATATTGAAATATTTCCGTTTTGGATTAGGTTGCTTTGTTGACTTACCACTTACTCGCCATTTTTTAGAATACTTACTGTATGAACTGCAGGACATTAAATAACCCATACAGTGGAGTGAGACCAGCTGAGATTATAGCCCTATAGTTTAAAGAAAAAAATTCTCAAAAACCAGAAAAAAAACAAAAACGGAAACAAGTAAATTTTAGAGGAGAGAGAGAGAGAAGGGATCCAGAAAGAAATTTGTCATAATATCTAAACCATCTGAAAAGGAAGAGGGGAAAAAACTGATGAGGCAATCAGGAAAACCTTTGGAAAAAGATGTTAGACATTACTGGCAGTGGCAGCAAGAGAATTTCTAGGATTTTAATAATTATAGACCACAGGTTCCAAACCAAAGTGTTTATTCTGTTAATAATGATGCGAAAAATTCCCGTAGCACACTTACTAACAAAGCGTTATCCACCATGCGGCTTTGCTGGTATTCTTAAGGCATATATTACCCAAACTACCCCAAAGTTTATGGAAACTTAAGAGTGTTTTCACCTGTTGCATTTACAGGCCAATTAGTTTCAGGTGGGAAACAGCAGGATCTAAAGGTGTTCCCCCATTTTATAAGACGTTCTCCTCTGGTTTTCCCCCCGTCTCCACCCCAAATTAAAACTTGTACCCTTGGCTGCCTGGAAAACTGTGGTCTAAGGTGAACAGTGTAGCTCGGAGCTACAGCATGCCTTACATATCTGAGCATAACTGACAGCAAATGCCCCACCTTCCCAATTTCACCGTATCATTGAAAAGACAAGCAGTGACATGATACATATTTTGGATTGTATACACCATGGTGAGGTGGGGAAAGCAAGAAAGTTCTAGCACTGGGTCGTACCTATGACACTCTTAGCGAATGACGAGCGCTTGAGGGTGGCCAAGCCTAGATCACCAATCTTAACGGAGCCGGTGGGACCGGTGATGAAGATGTTGTCGCACTTAAGGTCCCGGTGAATGATGGGAGGAGCCCTGGTGTGGAGGAAGTGCAGGCCCTTCAGGATTTGCCGGCACCAGCTCCGCAACACCTTTATCTTCATCACCTTGAAGCGCTTCAGATACCTGAGGAACAAAGAGTTGAGAATTATCCCTATGTTCTTCTTCACTAGACCTTGACAGAGTAAAATCAAACAGCAGATGTATCAACAGAAGATGATACTTGTCTCCAGGTTTGGTGATCAAGTCTTGAAAAGACTATTTCAACCAATGAAATGAAAAACAATGAGAAAACTCATTCAGGGAGGATCAGGGAGAATTAAATGATTACACGATAACGGGTCTGGGTCTTTGAAGCTGATGGGTCTGGGTCTTTGAAGCATCCATATGGACAGCTGCATTCTCATCTATGAGTCCCAGATAGAGAGGACAACAGCGTGTGAAGAAGGCAGTACAGCACTTTCGTTAGATTAGCTTGGCCTAATCAAATCTTGGGAGCCAAGCCACAGCCAGGATTTGGCCTTGTAATCCTCATTACAACAATCTACTCAGTTCAGGCACCAATACAGGGGGAGCTGGGTACTCTTTATCCCATAATGCCCTAGAACAGGGGTAGGCAAGTTCGGTCCTAGAGAGCCGCAGTCATGCAGAGTTCAGCTCCAACCCTGAAAAAAAAAACTCACCTGCCTATAGCCTTAGTAATCCTGAAGACATTGATTAGTTTGTTCAGGTGTGTTTGATTAGGGTTGGAGCTGAACTCTGCAGGACTGCGGCTCTCTAGGACTGAACTTGCCAACCCCTGCCCTAGGCGAAGACGGGCACAAGCTCACAAGCTAAACAGAACATGTATAGTAGCACAATTTGTTATGCGACATGACTTTATTTTAATCTGACACACTGTTTCCGCTCCAACCTGTTTGTCTTGAGAAGAATCAGATAACTGTCTGAAGAAACATCGGTTTATGGATAACTGTAATTGTGATTCAGAAATCAAATCCTTTCCTCTTCCTTTTCCTCTTCTCATAGTAAAAGAAAAATGGTTGAATAACATCGGATCAGATGAAACTGGTTTTGCAAGGCAGCACGAGATATTAGAAGAGCGTTTTTGTGTAAAAAGATTATCTCTGTAGTTTGCTTAGTAAGACTGAAGCGAGCAATAAGTAGTGCTTCGCTTATTATTTTAATCTGACACACCGTTTCCGCTCCAACCTGTTTGTCTTGAGAAGAATCAGATAACTGTCTGAAGAAACATCGGTTTATGGATAACTGTAATTGTGATTCAGAAATCGAATCCTTTCCTCTTCCTTTTCCTCTTCTCATAGTAAAAGAAAAATGGTTGAATAACATCGGATCAGATGAAACTGGTTTTGCAAGGCAGCACGAGATATTAGAAGAGCGTTTTTGTGTAAACAGATTATCTCTGTAGTTTGCTTAGTAAGACTGAAGCGAGCAATAAGTAGTGCTTCGCTTAATGGCAGGAAGTGGGTGGTGGTACAGGGCGGCTTTGATGGAGTGTGGCGGCTGACTGACAGGTGGGAACGGAGCCAAGGGTAAGTCCCGAGGCAATACTGAAGAGAGCAACAAAGCCTGATTCAAAACGGTCTCATCACTCAACACACCCAGCGGCTCCCAGAGGGCCCCAACAGGCTGTTTTCCAGCTACACCAACAACTCTCTCCGCACTTCTCAAAACAATAAATTACTTTAAAACATTCCGTCCTCAACCATATAAACAGTCAAAGGCCTGAAACATTCAAGAAAATTTTATGAATTTTGATTGTCAGATTTATCTTTCAGATCAACTACTGTCACAGAGCAGTAGTTTGAATAATCTGTGTTTATGTACAGTATGTTTCAATCCGAAATGTTGGACTAGAAATCTTTGAAAGGTCTTTTATGTGAGCATACAGGAACAGGGTGAGGGACAACCCACTCCCTGAGCAGTTATGTCTTCTGCCACCCAGACAAAAATGAGAACAAAGATTAGTTTAGGCATGGCCATGTCTGTAGGATGCTCCATTTCTACCTGACCTCTTGATCACTGTTTATCTTTGCGGTGGAGGAACAGCCATGCAGAACGCCACACATTGCCGGGATGCCAGGGATGATGAATACAAAGCAAGCCTGACATTGTTTCTCATTTTTTCTTTTTCGCTCATCTCCCCATGTCTCCTCATGGCAGTAATAGTGGCATTCTTGTTGTTGTGAGCTATGTGACAGATAACTAATTGTGCGTGACTGAGCCTCTGAGGATGACGGATCTTTGTGGGACTCCTTTTTATGTGTCCTGGAAACTCATAACAAATGATTACAATCAAAATGTTTAATCTGTTCTTATGTTAAAGGGCCAACCCAGTTCAATATGTCTGCATCATTTACTGGTTTTCTTGGTGACATCTTTATGTGCATGAGTCACCAGTTTTGTTTTTGTTTTGTTTTTCATTTCAAGAAGATCTAATAAGTCTCTATGCCACATTTCTATTAACTGATTTGGAAGGTGGAAAAAGCAAGAATGGTATCATAGTCAGGTACTAGTATTTAAGTGGGTGTATGACTCTGTTTGTGTTCGAGCCCATACATCCACAGGAGGGGGCTGCTGGTCCAGTTTGTGGTTCGTCTCATAACAGCTCCAGCATCTGTTCAGTACCCACAATGCCTGTCTCACATGAAGGTGACATGCCACTCTTCCCCTGCGATCACTCTGGTAACAGTTCTAACTCAATCGCTCTATTGTGATTGTGTTTTGTAACAGATAATCACAGCCTCTGTGGATGGTCCGCTAATGGCGATGGACATGAGGCTGGTGAAAAGCATGTTTGAAATGCCATCCTGTTGTTGCATTTGAATGCTGTACCACAATACAATATTAACTGCAGCGGATGCTGTGAATTGGAAAAAAAATGTGACAGAATGAAAAACCTGGGTAACACACTTTATGTAAGTGTTAACAATCATTTACATTAACACCACAATCCTAACAAAACAAATGACACACTTTTGCTGAATTTTGCATTTGACCATTCATTAAGCAATATTATGTTAAACAGACAATATAATATAAAAGTGGACCAGATGCTTTTTACTAACGTTTTTAGGGTTCCCGACGTCATGAGCTCCGTCACCAGCACAATACACTTGCGGCCTTTGGAGGGCAACTCCCATGAGTCGTAAAAACGCACAATGTTTGGGTGCTGCAGGCCTTTCAACATGCCAGCCTCTTCCTTAAAGCGCTGGCGCTCTGATCTTGACAGCTTCCGATCCTGCAAGGACAAGAACAGAAGACATATAAACCTTTAAGCCACTTGTTTTACTTAAATGTGATGGAAACCATACTTAACAGCCATTTATTGTATGTAAATAATTTCTCACTGAGCGGAGAGTATTACAGATATGCTTTAAATCAAATACCATGGATTTATGTTAACCCACTATAGCTCACGTGGAACCAGAGGGGGTCCACGCAACCTTAAATAACGTAACCCGACCCCAGATTCCTGCCAGACCTCCAAAAGAGCCTCTATAGACAACGCATAAAGCACAGGAGGGGACAAGACTCAACCAGTTTAAACACAAAGTGGTCCTCTTATCCTGTGCTTAATCCCTGTAAGGACCACACACAAAACACACCTATAAGAAAGAAACTACAAAAGCTTGGAGCAACAGGTTCAACGTGACCGGGCACTACACCATCTCCCTTGACTCTCTAACCTACCCAAAAAACCTCTCTGATATTCTATCCAGGGTAGCCTGACCTGCCCAACCACAACAATGTCAGGGTTTTTGGATGGAACGCACCTCCCTGCGCATGTGAGTATCCAAGCGTTGACGTCAAAGTTCCTTTCCGGTCAAGCTGAGCTCTTATCAGCAGTTTAAACAGTGTGCGCAAACCTGATCATTAATCATTATTATGATTGCTCCAGCAACCGCCAGTGATGAATTAATCCAGTGGCACTTTGTGGAAAAAAGGGCCACTTTTCTGTGGCCTACTTTCACACAACCCCAGCGCTTAAATCATATGTATTACGTGAGCACTAATTCCATTCTGCGAAAGACTTGTCCTGCATACCTGGTGGGAAAATTGCAACGTGCATCTTATAAAAGCTATACGTAAGAGTTCAGTGAGGACACCTATAGATTCTCCAGCTATCTGCAACCAGTGTATTCGGTGTCATTGATGTGCTGCCATTCTAGAATGCTGATGGTGGCATTCTCTCCACATTAATGCAGACAGAGTCATTCATTTTCCAAATGCACTAACAACCGTACTAGCAGCAGGCATCTACAACCCATTAAGTACCACTAATCCCAAAGGACAGTAGAGGGAGAGAGAAACAAAAGGGATTCAGCCTTAGATGGGGGAATGAAAGGTGTAAACACTATTGACTAGGGTTCAGTGCAACGAGAGCAGAAAAAACGTAATGGAGAACGAGAAAATGCTGAAAATACATAGTTCTCTTCACGCTCTTGTTCCAACAAAAATTGACCTGAAAAAAAGTGACTATAGAAGACAACAGTTCACACTGATGCCCACTCTGGCACCTCTTTCGGTGCAAAATTCAGCTCGGAAGCATTCGTGTATTTGCGTACAGCCCCTGGACCACATTTTGAGGCCAAACTTTAAGGAAGGCAGTGCTCTGAGTCTCCTCTTTGCAAACAGAGGCCATCTTATTTCCCATTCTCATTGCGTCTGTAGATAATCTAATCAATGGCTGATAATGCAGGACAAAGTCTTATAAAAGCTATACGTAAGAGTTCAGTGAGGACACCTATAGATTCTCCAGCTATCTGCAACCAGTGTATTCGGTGTCATTGATGTGCTGCCATTCTAGAATGCTGATGGTGGCATTCTCTCCACATTAATGCAGACAGAGTCATTCATTTTCCAAATGCACTAACAACCGTACTAGCAGCAGGCATCTGCAACCCATTAAGTACCACTAATCCCAAAGGACAGTAGAGGGAGAGAGAAACAAAAGGGATTCAGCCTTAGATGGGGGAATGAAAGGTGTAAACACTATTGACTAGGGTTCAGTGCAACGAGAGCAGAAAAAACGTAATGGAGAACGAGAAAATGCTGAAAATACATACTTGTATGCAAACGATTGGCCAGTGCATTGCAAACATGTACTCCTGTTGTGCGCACTTGCATACTGTACTGGTATTTAGGTAGTTGGGTATGAACATGCTGACAGTTTAACTGACTTGCTCAGCAAGGTTCTCTTCACGCTCTTGTTCCAACAAAAATTGACCTGAAAAAAAGTGACTATAGAAGACAACAGTTCACACTGATGCCCACTCTGGCACCTCTTTCGGTGCAAAATTCAGCTCGGAAGCATTCGTGTATTTGCGTACAGCCCCTGGACCACATTTTGAGGCCAAACTTTAAGGAAGGCAGTGCTCTGAGTCTCCTCTTTGCAAACAGAGGCCATCTTATTTCCCATTCTCATTGCGTCTGTAGATAATCTAATCAATGGCTGATAATGCAGGACAAAGGAAGAGGTCTTCTGCAGCATGCAGGGGGTTGCAGCTCTGCTAGTCTCTCTTCAGGTCTGGGGCAAAAAAGACCTCATTGATTGCGACTTAAATGGAGATTTTGGGCTCTCTCTCTTGCTGATAAGACACAGGAAGGATAAACAAGCTTGAGTGAGTGGGCGAGCACGCAAGATAGAGTAAGGGAAGTGATGCGTTTAACTTTGGCACCTCATGCAAGCTTGTCTTGGCAAACCACAAGCATCACTTTTAGCACCCCGCTTCTCAAAATAAAAACACAGGTGCTTGTGCTCTTCTCAATCATGTGATGTAAATAATTGAGGGTTTGGTTACAGGAGTAAACACAGCTTTAACAGACAACAAACTGTAGGTTAAACTACATAAAACAGACAAATTAGACAAGAAAACCCTTGCAAATGCAGGCAACTACTGCAGAGAGAGAGAGATTTAAAATAACCAAGATATTGGTGTTTACAGATATTATTTGTTAGCAGACAGAAACAGAATTCTTGGCAGCTGAAAATAGGGTTTTAAAAGGTGAAACACTGAATTATTAAAGAGCAGTTTGAATAATTAGTAATGTTTCTGGCTCTGTCTATTGAGTAAATTCTGCCTTTGTGAAAATAAGCATTAATTTGGTTCAAAAACAACACTTTTAAACTTTTGAAGTTAGGGTGTGTGGGTGTAAAAGAGTATGTGCCCTTCTTTTCCATTAACTAACTCCCAGGCAAACAGATCAGCTTTTATCTCTAGTTCTGCTTAGTGCTTAGTCAGTCACGTGAGCTTGTGCAGTTCAGCGAACAATCAGCTGTTTACTCGACTGTCGCACACAAAATACCTTTTGGTCTACACCTCTGGCCTGGCATGGAGATCTAAACGCAGCTGTGGTGCCCTCCTGTCTGTAAACAATCCAAAAAAAACAGCAGTAACCAGAAACAGCAGCGAGCCTTTCTAGAAAACTCACCCCTGCTCTTTTCTGAGAAAATAAGCCAAATGCTAATACAATAATGATAATGGATACGATGCCAACTCCTGAAATTTAATTAACACAGAGCTGCTCTGTTTTCCTCAAAAGGCTGAGTCTTTTTTACTGCAGTGCTATTTCTACAGAGTAATGGGACAGATAGTGTTTGGCCCGCTGAGCGGCATCAATGCAGATGGGAGACTCACACCTGATAGCGTTTTGCAGAAGTTGTGTGGGTGCACAATAAGATGCAATAAGACGCTCGTGGATGTGGCGGGAACTGGATCAAAGCAGCTTCGACCACATCACAGAGCTGGACTAAATATGTAGTAAGAGCAAACCAAACGTCATTTCAATCAGTGGATCAAATCTGTGGAGCAGGCTGAGAAAGAGGCAGCTATGAGAGCCGTCTCTGAATAACAGCGCACTTGAATAACCCCTGAGATTTGCATTTGTAAAAAGGCAAATAAAACGGATTGGCATGACTCATGCTAGCGGGTTGCATAGCATTCTCGTAGGCAATGCCAGTGGGGAATGGAGCAAATGGTAGATCAAAGCTCTGAGAGATAAGAGTTGGCTTCAGTAAATGGTGAACCTCAACCGTTATAGATAAAACTAGAGGATCCTGAACTCTGGGATGGTTACCATGTGCATCGGGACAGGCGATGCTTGAGTCCAAACAGAGGTTGTGTGAACCAAACCAATTCTGTTGTTTACCAAATTTCAAAAGATTTAAAGATAATTCAAATGCTTTCTGTCATTTTGACAAATATAAAGTATCTGGTCTTCTGCAATTCCCTACTTTAGAAACTAGTGGAGTTCATTCATGGTGCACGGTTCAATAAAATGACTCATAAGTTTACAAGACTGCAGCATCTGTTGTCATTTTCATGTAGCGAGAAAAGAATAATACAAGCACTTAGCATTGATATCACAAAAGTTCTTGTGATATCAAAGTAACATTTAAAATACATGTATTTATAAATGTATGTATTTAATTAGTTAAAAGTCTATTTAAATAAAAGAGAAAATATAAAGAGACAGAAAATAATAATACAGAGAGAGAAATGTAAAAAAAAAGTTTAATGAATTAATAAATACATAAAAGTTTTAATTAGTCAAATAAGTCTATTTAAATAAAATATTATATATATATATATATATATATATATAAAATTATGTTTATTACATGAAGAAATGACTATACACAAGTAAATATTTTACTGGTGGACACCACATTATGAAAAAGTATTTTATACAACAAAGATTAATAGAGTATACTTTACAAAATTAAATAAAAAAATTTAAACGTGTTATTTTCAATTTCTTTGTTATATAAATTTACTAGCAATTTCTGAGTGAAAACGGTTTCACCACCTTTCTTTCCAGTTTAAGAGCATTAAAAAAAAAAAAGTATATCCCAATCTGTCAAAGTGAAATGGCCAAGTCGCTTAAAGGTGACATATCATGGAAATCTGACTTTTCCAGGTTTTAAGTGCTATAATCAGGTCCCCGGTGCATCTACCAACAAAGGAAACTTGAAAAAGATTAACCCAGTAACTTTGTTTTGGGAAGCCTTTTTCTGCAAGCGTCTGAGAAAACGAGTGCGTCTGATTTCGCTCCCTTGGTGACATGCAAAGGGATCTCATTATAATATTACCGCCCCTTAATCTGTAAGTTTACACCCACGGCGCCGTTATTGTGTTTTCGCAAGTGACAACGGTATACTAGTTCTAATGCCATGGCAAAAGTTTAAGCAAAACATGCTAACGGTTCTGTCTTTGGCTGCACAGACGAGCACAGAAC